TAAACATCATAATTTGTAAAACTAACAACACTGACGATATATATACATTGAAGATATAAAAAGAAAAAGAAAAAAAGAAAAGTACGCTATCTAGATGATTGAAATCTTTTCAAATAGCCAAATTGCCAATATCTAAATACACTATTATCTACAATATCATTGAATACAAGTAATATTTTGCTGATGTAGTGAAGAAGTTGTAAGCAAGTGAATAAAGGTGGTAGACCGAAAGGTTGCTATTATTATATTTTGGTAGTGCATGGCATGTGCATGTGTGCCAAATTGCCAATATAGAGAATAATTAAGAACCCAATATGTATGAAAATTGATGGTTAAAAGTTCAGAATCTCTCCCTCTTGAGCACCTTCAAAAGCCAAATCCTCAGCTCATGCAATTGAAGGATTTGAAGGTTTGTTCTTTACTGTTTTGTTACCACATTTTTTTTTTTTTTTACATATTACAATCAATGAAAAGATCATAAAATTTTATATTTTTTTATATTCACTTGTTTTGATGACATGGCTACATTTTTCTTTTTCTTTTTTGGGTAACAAAAATCAATCTATTTGCAATTGCAAGCTAGTTTGAATTTTTCGATAGTTTATAAATTTATCACGATTGTAAATCGCGTGTGTCATTTAAGTTTAGATCTCAATTTTAGTGAACTTTGAAAAGAAAAGTATTATCAAAGGCATTATCAATTGAATTAGTCCGTATAAATTTGATGACTACATATACATAAGAATCAAGATGTTACCTCTTTTAACCAATTGACGAAATCAAAAGTAAAATCTTTTGGAGATTTTGAAATCAAAAGTTGCTTTTCATTATAAAACACGTTTAATTGGTTCTCAAAACCAGAAGTTGGCTATGTATAAGATGCTTTTAATTAACAAGCATGCATGCCAATTTTTTTCCGACTTGGACATAATCATCTGCACGCAATTTTTTCATTAAAGATCGATCATCATGAAATTTAATTAAACCCTTAATTAATATTAGTATCTAAAAATTAACTAAACATGAGAATGGACTTTAATTAACCATGTAAATTGTCAAATTAGAAGTAGCCCTATATAAGGACCCATACAATTCCAGCTAAGAAAAAATCTCACAGCTTTAAATTGATTAAGGAGTTGTGGTACATCATTTCTGCAAAATGAATCATATTTTAAATAGAAATAGTGATAGTAGAATTGTTAAAGTGAATTATTTGACATACTGCTAGTAATCATGTTTACTAACTAAATATAAGAAAGTGAGAATCAAAAGTTGTTGATTAGCCAAAATCTTACTCGGTAAAGTGAATTACTTTTAACTGATGAACTTAAAATTCGATCACTTTCCTTTAATTAGTTAAAATAAAAATAAAAAATGCCAAAGTTGATTGTTTGTATGCATGTGGGATGATGGACGTCGTGCTCTAATTAGGCCTAATTTTAAAAGACATGTTACCCAATATCGTGTGCGTGAGAGAGAATAAATCACATTTCTGTATTTAGTCATGCATGTCGGTATAAGCTACTTAATTCTAATAGGCCTTCGTGAATCTTGACTAAAATTAAAAGGTGGTCTGAAAAGAATATGATAATAAGTAATAACGTAACTTTCTACAACAAGATTCTGAGGGTTAATGTTGGAATTTACAACTAAGACCACCCTGTAAGCCTCTATAAATAGCCCTTCTATCTTTGAAATCTTGTACTACTATAAAACCATAAACACCTCCATCATATCTCTCAACCTGTACCTCCATCTCTGTGTATCAATATAAATATATATATCCAATTATCTATATCTATACACATATCTCTGTCTCCATCTGTAAATCATGGCCAAGGTTCCCATTAACAGCTGTCTCCTTCTCAGGTCCACTTTTGTTGATCATTCTTTTATATAATACAATTGTGCATGTATCTCTATTTTCTTTCAGATTAGGTTTTACACAATGTTTGGCTTTACTCATTTTATCATCTTATTTTTCTTTTGATGATGATTGTTAGTATGTTTCCTTAATTTTGTTCTTTCATATAAGAAAAATGATTGAGATTCCAAAAGCTGACTGATTTACTATAAAGTAATTAATATATCTGACGTTGTCCTCTATTTGTTTTAATAGTCTTCATGTATGTATAGTATGAAAAAGGTTAAAGACTTCAAATTGTTTCTAATTATCTACTTAACTAACATTAATAAAGGATAATGTATGTTATATATATGTGTGTGTTGTTTATACTAATATGATGTGATTTGTGGTGCAAGCAGCCGACGGGCATATAAAGTTGCAGCAGCGAATGTAAGAGGACAAGCAGTGATGAAGAAGGTGGTGCCGGAGACGAACTTTCCGGGCAACAGAGTTCCATCAGTAGGGAAAGATACGTTTTGGATGAAGGATCCAAAGACCGGTGATTGGGTTCCGGAGACTCACCTTGACAACCAGGCTGATGCTGCAGAGCTAAGAGACAAGTTCCTTCCCCATTAGAATTAAAGAATTTTTTTTTTCAAAGGATCGATTTCTATATATATATTTGTCACGTACTTTCATATATATAAGTGTGTGTGAGTGTGTGTGTGTATTGTGGGTTCTGATTCTCGTTCCTACTGCTTGTAATATATATATTTTTATATATGTAGCTAATAAAATTCGTGTTTGTTGTACATAGACTCTAGCTTCCAAGTTTATTATTGCATGTGTTTTATGGGGTGGTACTTTAAAAGGAATATAAGAATACTTTGGGTCGATCTCTAAACTCTTTTCATTATCATATACACGAGAAAGAAGAAATTCCTTCACTTTTGGAAGGAGGGAATTCAAAGAAAAGGATGTGCAAGCTAATTGATGTTAAGAATATTTGCTTTCTTTCTCTAACAAGTGGGAGGAAATGAAAGGAAATAATTAGGGAGTTAATGATTACAAATTTTACCCTTATAAAGAATGTTTTTTTTTTTTTTAAATAAAAAAATAAAAAATAAATAAAATTGGTAAGAAAATGAAGAATGAATATGTACTTGATTGTTCTTTTCTACTTACACGATTAATGATATATATATACTTACAAGAAACGGACTCATCCGAAAAGTACTTATTAATTAATTGTCCAGTTGTTCGGGCTAATTACATTGAATATGTAAATAATTGTGTTGAAAATAAGTATGTTTTATTTAGCTTTTATTTATGCATTCAACGATGATTGGCCGGGTCAATGATCTCATAACAACAAAAAAATTTCTCCACTCATCCATGTTGTCAAATGAGAGACGTGAAGTCACAACCTTCAACTTTGAGTGGTCCCAATAATATTCATTTATATATATATTATTTATTTCAACTTAGGACGCACATATATTTTTATGAGAGTGACGTACTCATATCGAATATGTATCAAAAACCGATACTCCTCACGAATACGTGTTCAATAGTTTTTAAACGTACTCATAATTTTAAAATATATTTTTTAATTTCTAACACGTACCTATCTAATACTTCTCACATACTTTGGCTCAAATACTTCATAACAAATTTTTAACAAGTTTTGAATATTAAAATGTAAATTTTCTTACAATAATAACATAATAATTTTGTTGAGAAAAGTTAAAAATTTAGTAACAGGTGACTAGAGAACTTGTTTTATGTGTTCTGAAACGATCTCTTATGTTATATTAATGCACGATTGCATTTAAATTCATAATATTACAGAAAATGAATTAAAAAATATAAATTTTTTATATTAAAAATATATTTATAATTATTATTTTTTATCGTATCCGGTCATACTCGTAACTTATTTTTATACTACAGAATTTATCGTATCACCATGTTTATATCTATTATATCTGCACTCGGTATCCATACTTCCTGAATATCAACTATCTTCTCAAACAAAGGAAGTATTATTTCTTTACGTGCCTTCCCAAATTGTTCGAGCAAGATAAGGGCTTGATACTGTTCTTTGTCCTTTTCTCCTTTACCTAATGCTCTAATTTATATAATATCTTTGTCTTATATTAAAAGTTTATCTTAAAACTGTGTCTCACAGAATAGTTCTCGAGGTGGGCTCTTAATATGAAACTGAGGGGGTAACAAACTAGAATCAATCGCGAGGAGACTAAAAGCTACTCAAGCTGGAGATGGATAAGATGAGCCACACACCTTTTCTAAGAAATTAAAGTAACCATCCATTTATAGAGCCATAATAAACCAATATAATGGTTGCCAATAAATACAACCCTTATTGAATAATTCACATAGGTTATCTACAGAGGGAAAAAAATTAAATTCGATCACCAGAAGTTGCTGAACACAACTAAATGCAATAAACTCAAAACAGTACTTCTCTTTAAATCTAATTAGCATTCGAACAAATCAGCATTATGTGGTGTAAGGTACAATGATAATAAAAGCTCACCAATCTGCATCATGTACGTGATGGAACACTAAATCATTGCTTGGTACAATTGATAATAATTAAAAGTTCAAACTGTTACAGATGAGTCCGTGAAATAATGTTTGGTAAGGTTAAGTTTGTTGAAATTTTTTTTGAAAGCAATAATAGAAAAATATATATAGTAAAAAATTGTTCAAACCCAGAGTTATATACATGAAAACAGAGATTTCCACTAAGTATTAATTAAGAAAGAGAAACATTTAGAAACAAAATGATCACTAGTTGAAAATGGCCACCTCCGAGTTTTTATTTTTTTTTGTACAATTTATCTCTACCAATTTAGTAATTTTGATTTGGAACTCTTTTCAACAACAAATGCGGTATTATTCAATTGTAACAAAATTATAAACAACGTTTTAGTGTTTTGCTTCGTTAGAGTGAAACAAGGATGGTTGCCACACAGGCCCAAAGTGATACTAACTAAAGTGAGAGCTTGACCATGGTTTTCCATGGAAAAGTTAGTGTCCAAGTCATACACTGAAGATTCAACTATAAAGCTTCCACAGCCCAAATGTTTTCTGCTAAAAGTAGGCCCATTAGCCCATTCCTATGGATAAACATTTATCTGTAGCCGCCACAAGAACCGAAAACAGAAAACCCTATAAATCCATAAACCCTATAAAGCAAATGCATTCACCACGAGTTGGTAGATGATATCGATTGGCTTTTCAGGCATTGTGCAAATTAAGTTATCCTCAACGGTAAGATTTGCTCTGGATCAACTGATGATCTTTTGATGGGTCTCTGTTTTCTCACTCGAGTGTTACATTTTTCTGCAAAATCGATTCTTTTCGTTTTGTTTTCAGTTAAACACATGGAAGTACATACATACATACATACATACATATATACACACACTTATGTGTGTATCTATTGCAGCTGGCCGAGCTGGTTGGCTCAAGTATTGTCAAGCAGTAAAGTAAAACAGCTGCATAAATCAAATTTCAGGGCACAAAACCAGCTCTTGATTGCTTTAGTTCGAGCAGGGCAAGATTGATAGTGCTGTACATAAATCTCTAGTTTAAAATCAACCCTTTTCACTCTGAATCACATTTTTCGATTCTTACCTATATTTGTTATTCGATTTCTTTCTCTAAGTTTTGCCTAATAAATAAACCTAGAATTTTAGATTTTTTTTTTTGGTTATATTTGTCTTTCATGGTTTAGCCTAAATAAACAAACCTAGTAAATTTTAGTTTCTTTTTCGTTTGAATGGCATTTGACATGTAGGTTTATGTCTTTGTGTGATATATTTCTGACATTACATTTTGGATGATTTTCAACAACAATCTGCACAAAAGCGTGCTAAAAGTTTGTGTACATAACATCAAAGGTTATGTCCATACCACATCTGTCCTTTGCTCTCCCATTACACTCGACTATTTGTGGTCACAGAGGGTAATGACTAATGACCTTTTAAGCATAAATGGTTTTTGTTGTTTGTTCAACATTTTATAGTAACAATCCTGTTCATTTTTGTCTTCATTTTTCACTGTCTGTGTCTATTGATTTGATCTAGTAGAAGTATTGAAAATAAATAATGCAATGATCATTCGAATTTAAGGCACCCTTTGATCATCTTAAAAGGTGAATCACCATTTGGTTTTTCAATCTATGCTTGAATTTTGGTAGGGTTTATAAATCTTCTGGGCAATTGGATAGGATTTGATTCTTATCTCGAATAGCTTGAAGAAGCCTAATGCGATAGGGAAATCACCTTAATAGACCTTTGTTCCTAGCACAGGCATCGGCATTTTATCTAGTGACTGTCCACAAATTATGTGTTTGAGATTCAAGTGTATCCCAAGCCTCAACTGCAAGCGCTTGCCAATTGGGTGAAATCATCTGTGTCTTGTCTTCCCCCATGAATATGGCCTGAAAATAACTATAGCATCAGCTTTGAATTCTTTTAATGTGGGCAATAAGCTGAGAAAGGCTTAGAGCTGGTTAAGTGTGATCGATTAAACTGTGCATTTATTCAAACACTCCAGTGCTTGATTTGGCTTTTGTTGATTCCTTAATGTTCCAATTGAGTTTTTGGACAATAATATAGTTCCTTCTTGTTAAAATCATCATTTGAAATAGTTTTAATTTTAGTTGTCAAGAAGATGGGGAAAAGAAAAAGACCTGCTTCATATTTTCTTCTCCATTTGCAGACTTATCGTTAGAGGTAGGGTGTAGAGGAAAAATGTAAAGTTTTTGCAGAGTCAAGTGTAAAAACATCCCACTCACCTTAAGAATTTGTTTCTGACATGTGCTTATACTTTATTATTATAGACATATATATATATATATATATGATGGTTTTTAATGACTTTTGATTATGGTTGGATAGATAAGCTGGCATTGAAGATGGATATGTGAAGGTTGCTATTGGAAGTCTGTCCTACTGCCTTACCAGATTGATTCCAGAATCTTATTCCGGGCTTTGGTGTTGGTGTTAAAAAAAGGCTTAAGAGGATAATTTCATATTGATGCTTTGTTACAAATTTCGGGCAATGAAAATTCATATTTGGTTCTGATCTATATGATTTATGGTGGTGGAATGGATATTTGTAGACCTGACCTGATTATTTACTATAATATTGATATGAGAACACAAACTCAATGCCAATTGTCTAATCATAGATATGGAAGAATGGTGGGTTCCTTAGGGAAGCTTGATCCACATCGGATCTGGATGAAAAATAAATAGATAGTTAGTCTCATCTAATAACGTAAGCCTTGGAGTCCGATAACAAACTACCCATCCGTTACATGTGGTATTAGAGTTAGACCTAGTTTTTGATTTGATGTCATGCCAAATGCCTGGCCCGAAGGGTGTCCAGGTTTGCATCCCGAGTAGAAAGGATGGCTCGTGAGGAGCTTGTCTCACATTAGATTCAAATGAAAAAAATGAATGGGTATCCATTGGTTGAGTATTAGTCCACCTAATAATTTAAATTTTTGGATTCGATAGGGAGATTTCAACTTTCTTAATTCTCATTAAAAAAACAAAATTCTCATAATTAGCAACTAGGTTTTCAAAATTTTAATTTAATATATCTATATATATCCAAGCACATTATACAAGAGTGGGATTAGAGAAAATTTGAGATCAGCGACCTAACCTTAAAGTTCAAAGAAGACATATAGTCACCAACCTAAAAAATAAAACATGCTAATGGTGAATAATTTTGAACATTACTCGCGTCCTCCCTCATGCAACAATAATTTTGTACAACACTAGTGAGATGTACAGCGTCCCCCCATAACACATCATCATAATTTGATAATTGTATCAATTTACCCACACATCAATGGTGAGATTTACCCAGATTTACCCACACATAAATTTGATAATTGTATCAATTTACCCACACATCAATGGTGAGATTTACCCACACATAAATGGTGTGAGCTAGACCCTCTGTAAAAATTTCTTTACGCGGCTGTTGCTTAGCTCCACAAAAGTCCAAGCAGTCCCAGCAGCATCTGCTCATTTGCGCTCTCAAGTGCCATCTACCGGTGACCCCCTTTCGAAGAAGAAGATCCTGAACGGCAGGACGACGTCGTCGTCTTCGTAATACGGTATGTCATATTTACACACACGATGACACGAGTGTTATATGCTACTATAGTTACTACTACATATAATTATATATATATAAACACACACACCATACACTGCTGATACATATATGTTAATATACATCGATCTTAATAAATTTGTCAATTTAATTGGGACGAAGTACCAACAGGGTTGCATTGAATTTGTTATAGGAATCGCGTTGCGGGTGAATTGTGCACCTGCTATACCCAATCGGCTTTCTTCACATCACGTGCCAGTTTGCTTTCATGGCGCAAATCTGTGAGGTGCGCGATCTTTTTATGTCTTTACTCGAGAATCTGGTTAAGTTAATTGATTGAATACGAATGTGCACACAAACTACATGATAAATTGTCTCTTTCAAATAGGTATAAACTTTTAATTTCCGATAGAAAATAAAGAAAAAATAGCTATCAACCTTTTATTTAGTGTTGTGTTCTTTGTGACAATATATTTAGTCTCTCTTATTGATCTTCTGTGAACACTTGCTTTTCCAATTACTGATCTTTAATAGGAAGATTTGGGTTTGAATTGATAATGGGTGGCAAAACATGGGCTTTTTTCTTGAATGAGAATGCACTGCATTTTTTATGATCACATATATATGTTGCTCAGATGATATAGTCATCTAATGTTATTCCTCCTTTTTGATGATCACATAGATACGTTGAATAGTTTTGTAAAATGCCTATTGAATAACTGCTTTTCTGTGGCCATCCATTTGGTGGATATATGTTCTAGCCCATTGATCACATGGATATGTTGGTCAGTTGATACAGTCATCTATTGTTATTCCTCTCTTTTGATGATCACATAGATATGTTGAATAGTTCAGTAAAATGCCTATTGAATGCTCTAGCCAATATCTTAGGCGGTAGCTATAAAAGCAACAAACTTTTTTGCGCAATTCCTTTGGATATACAGACCATCATTTGTGCTTATTTATAGTCTCATACTCTTTTAGACGCCTGTATGAAAGTTTTTTCTCACTATATATATAATATATCTATTTTATTTTTATGTATATATCTGTTTTCGCTTTTTTACACGTGCAGATATGGGAAAATGGTTTTTGTTATGCATCAATTGATGTTTATTCAGTGCATTTCCACCCCCAAAACTTGATTTCAACTACGAGAATCAGTAGTGGAGACAAAACAAAATGAATGAGGTAACTGATCTCAGTTTTGGATTTCTGAATGCAACTTGAAATCTCACTGCCCATAAGCAGTCTAATATCTAAGTTAAAAAGTGTTAAACAGGTAATTCACCAGGAAAATAAAAGATGTGGAACAGGGTCCAGTAACTGTGGCAGATAAAAGATGTGGAACAGGGTCCCGTAACTGTGGCAGATAAAAGATGTGGAACAGGATCCCGTAACTGTGGCTGGAAAAAACCATGGAAAATAACAGAATTGGAAGGGATGTTAGAAAAGGAGAAAGCAGAGTTCGAGGTGAGGCCTTCAGTTTATTATGTTTGTCTTCCATTTTGCATCCTGATTAAACTAGCTTTGGATCCTAGAAGCTGTACTTTATATATCACTAGTGCATATATCCCTTAAAATTCAGTGGACATGCATGGGACTAAAAGACTCTTAAATCTTAATAAACGTTGGTAAATATATATAAATATATAGATGTTCCTAATTTGTGAGCCAACTGATAAGTTGGATAAATTCAATTTGGTTAACTATTATCAATAATTGTTGGACTGGATAAACAATATTCTTCTGACAATTTTGTACTCAAATAATGTTTTTCCAGAATGTCTGACTAATATCTTCTGTTTCACATGACTTATGAAGAATCTCTCTCATATTCCTTCAAATGCCCAGCCTTTGTTAGGATTTTTAGGTCAGTATAATTCTGATCAAAATCAAATGGGGTCATGAGTTTTTCTGGAGATTTTTATGTAAAATTTCAGAATCGAAAAGTTTCAAGAAAGAAAACAGAATATGAGGAATGTCGTTAAAATTCAACACGTGGCTGGTTTCAGTTTTTGTTTTCTGATGGATTTCAAAATTTTGGCGGATTTCTTGCCACTGCTGTAGGAATCACTCCAGAAAATCTTGAACAGGAAGGCAAAAAAGGGCCAACCTGTCATTGATATCCTTGAGATTTGACATTAATCGACAGCAAAGGCAGTTGTTCTTCCAGTCTGATATGTGGGACCACCGCCTGATTTATATAGCCAGTATAGACAGCAACAGCCTTCCAGATGATTTGAGTGGCTCCAACTCAGAACAGGTAAAGAAATCCCTCTGTGCTAATGAGAAGCTCAATGAGATGAGTATGCCGGCAATGGTTTATGTAGTTGCGACTCTATTGTTCTGGATTCAAAGCCCAATGAAAGTCATAATCTGGGAGGAAGAATTATTAGGCACACTAACCAGACTGAGATAATTCATCAAGGGAATGAATTGGATTTAGACTCGAATCATGAAAAAGAAAACTGAGCTAATCTTTCTACTGATACAAACATTGGTGATGAATCTGATCCTCTGGAATTTAATGAAATTTATCATAGGGCCCTCTCTGAGGGGCAATACCTTATTATGGCATCTTTGTCAGACACTCTTGATGGACTGGTGAAAATCCCTCAGGAATGGGAATGCCCAAGGTTAATACTTGTACAGCTCCTGCATCTGCTGTTTCAGATTCTTCAACTGCGGTAGCAGTGGTAGGAAAATTAGATTTGAGAAATCATGAAGAGGACCAGAGAAGGCCCAAGGCATCACACATTGGCATATTCCCAGGCATCACATATTGGCATATTCCCATTCTCCTTTGTCCACCATAAACTTGTATCGTTTGTTATGAATATTCTAGGGAGTACTCAGAAGCTGGATGCACTTAGTGAGCATCTATGTCTCATCATTTCAGCAGTTACAGCTCCAAGGAAGAGCTAGGTTGCTTTTTCCTGTGGATGTTAATGAACGCTGTTGTTCCTGTTATGATGATGACCCCACCAGTGTTATATCTTATGCACTGGCATCACCAGATTATCTTGTTCAACTGTCTGACGAACCTGAAAGACCACAAGACACGGGAATTTATGGTTCCACTACAGTCCCTTGATTCAGTGAACTTTCAGTCTTTCCATTTCTTTGATGACGAGAGCATCTTATCCCTGTCTGGGTCTTGTAGCTCCCTTGTCTGGATCGACTCTTTTACACAGAGGCTCTGCATGCGAGAGTTTCTTTTGAAGATGATGGCCCCTTGGTTAGGTGAAATATACAGTTGACTTGTTCATGCAAAGCTGGTTGAAGCCTTGAGGAGGTTATGGATTTCATAAGGTCACTTAATCGTCAGAAGCGGGGCAATAACAATGTCTTCTTTTAAGAAACCATGGATGATAATTTTATTCTATACAACTTCCAAAGATAGAGCTGGAATCATTGATATAGTTTGCTCCTGGATATTTCAAGTATTTATCTGAATCAATTGGCATGGGAAGCCCCACACACCTGGCAAAGATTCTGGGGATTTATCAGGTAATTTCTGGAGTCCTGGAATGCTAGTTAGGGTAATTGATATGGTTACTTAGATAGTTAGATTGAGCTGACAACTAAGTCCAGTCAATGGAGTTGAATAGCGGATACTACTGACTGAACGCCTTTTAACTTGGAGTCTTATTTAATTTATTGACAAAGCAATATAGTCAAGGTTTCTCTGGTTGATGCTATGTTGCCAAGAAAGGCATAGGAAATATCCATACATATCTCACTTATTTATTTATAATTTTGATTCATGCTGAGATAGTCAATCCTGCATTATTAAATAGCATTAAAATTGCCTAAATTTGTTAATATGTTTGTTAGACATTATACATTTTTTTTTTTTTTGTTTCTTTTCTCTACCAGTCTCGACGCCTTCACCTAGGGCTTAAGAGTTAAGACCCAAAGCCACTAGGACAAAGGTAGACCAATACATATTAAATTTTTTTATTAATGTGTCAAATAAAATGGTAGCTTAATTGGTTTTTCATAGAAATAGTAGCTTAATTGGCCTTTCATAAACTGGGGCTCTTACAATCAGATTAGGTCAGTACAGTTGGTTGGATGACAATCTGTTACCTGTATCACATATATTTTTTGACATTTAGGAAACCTTCATTATGCACAACTGACAAGGACAATTTGTCCAAGAGTTTCTTATTGAAGGTTATGATGCATCTTGTTCTCTCTCTGGACCAATAAATAATTGTTACACGTTGCCCAGAATTCAGTGTGAACCTTTCGCAAGTCCAATAATTCAATTAGAGTAGATGCTTTTTGCAAATTTTGATATTGTTAAATTTATTCTGATGCAGGCTATCAATGTAATTGATTATTCATTCCTGGTCGTGGTGGATCGAAGAGAAGTATGAGCCTAGTGATCATCGGTTTCATGAGACAATATGCATAGGACAAGCATCTTAAAACATGGATTAAGGCTTCAGGTAGCTTGGTGGGGCAAAGAACTGTTCTCCAACGGTAATTTCACCCCTGCAATACAAGAAAAGGTTCAAGAAAGCTGTGACTACCTATTTTCTTATGGTCCCTGATCAGTGGTCCACTTCAACTATCATTCCAAGTAAGTCCCGCACTAATCTCTGTGAAGAGAACTCTCATGGTAGGACCCTCAGTTGAGTGATACAGTAAATCTGTGTGCTTGTACATTTGAGCAAACGATTTGGGAATCATTCTTCCCATATCAGATTTCACTCAGTCTTGTGTTTTCCTTCTTCCATATTGCAATTTTTTTGGATAGCAGTTTCATTTGTATTCTTCTTAAATTGAGAATCACTATTGTTTGTCAGAAGATACAAAACAAGTCTATCAAATGCAAAGCCATGAGAATTTCCCCAAGATATTATCTTTAGATGAGCTCCCCAAAAAGTTTTGTATCTAGCATTGCATTATGTATATAAATTACAATGATACAAGTGTTCCTTTCTATGTATTCTATGAAAATTTTGTAGTCAACAATACGCGGGATACAACTTTTTGTTTGAATACTTTCTCTGTAAAGTTAGGGTTGATTGAGAAATGGATAAGCTTCCATTCTTGGAATCGTTAAGAAAGTTGGCTGGTCAGTTACATCGCTTTTGTTACACTGATGGAGTCTTGGAGGTAGCACAGATAAGGCTTCTTCTAGGGAAGTAGGTAGAAGATGTTTTAAGTGAATTTCTAGGTTTAATGGTTCTGTATCTCTTATTAACAGTCAATATTAATGAGGAATCACAACACTATCCAGTTGGTACTTATAGGTGAAACCAAACTGGTTATATAACTTGAAAACAAAGCATGTTGGTTGATCTCTGCTCATCTTGGCAGAACACGTCATATCCACTTCTCTGAAAAATGACATGAAATTGAAACAGTCTGTTCTCTTTTTCTTGTAAAGATAGGGTTCAATGATTGGTTTGACTCTGTTTCTCTTGGCAATCATGCATTGATGATTTTTGAATCTTAGCAATTATGCTTTTATTCTTTTCTCATTTGGTGATCTTTGATGACTCCATGAAGCTGTGTATGCATTATGCTATGGGATGCTTAATCAAATATTTCAATTCCTCTGCAAACTTACAGGCCCCACCTTACTCTTTAAGCAGATTCTGTCTCAATTGTAAAATTGCTGTGTTTGCCTGGTATGAATCAATCAGTAATTAACAGTGTCTTTTTATTTGACGATGAGTTTAGGAAGTTGCTTCCATTTTCCTCCCTCCACCACTAAATTAGGATCATTAGTTTCTGTGGAAGTTTGCAGTGAGTAGCAAATAAATACTAGAGGAGAAACATATATAGAATTGTGCCTTTAAGTTGGAAAGGGGAACAGAATCGAAGGTAAATGAAGGTGTCTCTCTGCTTAATATGTAATTATGTCATTAAAGGTAAACTGCTTTTTGAATGCAGTGCAGATAAGCTTAGTTACATACACAGATGCATATTATTGACTACTGTTAGCATTTCCGGTTGAAGTTTTTCTTCACAGCAACTCCTTTGTCAGGATGGTTAGATTCACCACCTAAAACAATTTGAAGCCAGGTCTTCTGCGGAAGATCAATGATCGGAACATCTCTGAACTCAGTGAAGAATAGACAAAAAATAATCAGACAGACAGATTAGTAGAATTATAACCTAGTATATCATGCTACTTCTTTTGGGATAATTTACCTTGTATTGTCTGTTATTCTTGAAATCTCTTGTTGAAAACGAGGACCCTCATCGTACCCTTCACATACTATGTCCCCACTACTGTCCCTGTAACATACTATACCCCTTGATTGATCTTCGAAAACCTATGAAATCAAGGAGGTTTTAATATTATACTTCAACATTTTTCTATCTAGTTGAGCAAGTTTTTAGAAGTGGAGTGAGTGGATTTGTTTTATGTTGCAAATCTGGGTTGTAGATTACTCTTTCTAGCATCATGAAGAAGAATCAAGATTGAAAATTAGGGTTATAGAGGCATTAATAAATAGCAAAAGTAGAAACAAACCTTATCTCTGAAGCAAGACGTGATCTGAAGTGGTTTTTTCTTCACTGGGTTTTGATTCCCTGAAAGCATCAATACCCTACTAATAGGTTTTTTGGTTGGAGCAGATCTTTGAATCATGGGTGGAGGAGAAGGAGACCATCTTGCAGCCATTGATCCTGTGTTGGAAAGAACAAGGAGAAAGAGAAGAAGAAGGTGGTTTTTAATTTGCTGTGGAGTTTGAATTGGCCATAAGTAGCTAAGATTAGGAAGATAAAATTATATTAAATTGGTTTCTAAGTTTTTATTTGATAGCTACTGGCTTGTCATCCTTTGCATTACACAGGTAATTATATGTTAGGTGGGACCCTGCAACTTATCTAATTGTTGTTGCTGATGAACCCCAAGTCATCTGGTGACTCCGATTGGGTGTTAGTTTTTCTTTGATTAATTGTTTGGTGGGTCTATTATAAGGTAATAGCCACATCACTCTCTCTCTCTATCAGACACACAACACACACTAAGAAAACACACACAAATTGGGGGCGGCGAACATATTACTTTATTGCTGAGTGCGTATACCTTAGAACTTGGAAAACTCATACCCCTATTTGCTCAGCCACGTCTGATCTCAACCAAAACTTGTCTTTGTGTTTTTGTGTGTGTATTATTTGTATAATTAGCTTAACATTAAGTTCGCTTTTATATGCATATTTAGCTTGACATTACTTTCCTAGTTGGTGGAATATGCGTCTCCTTTGGAAAAGTACTGTGCACTTGAAGATTGAATGTTGGTGCTTTTGATTGCATGACTGGATATGTGGCCTAACATGATTTGTTTCTCCATAATCAAATTTGAAAGTCAATTTTTTTTTTTTTTTTCTTTCCCTGATTCATACTTTTAGTACGAGACTTGAATCCTTAACCTTTCACTTTGAAAAGTGAGGAGATAACATTGTTAAATCATATAATTTTTTACAAAAAATTTTCTTAAGCATTGTATTAAAAATTGATACGAGTTGTCATGTTGTTCAAATGATTTGCAATTTACACTTACACAAGGAGTATCTGAAAATTACAACCTACACGTGGGAAGTTTTAGTGTTAATTTCATGAGCTCTCTTTCGTCCTAACCTCAATCAATCAATTATGTATATGTTCTTGTTATCTTAACTCTTTCGAGTTTTGCTCATATCTTTTATCTAGCATCATTCTCTACCGTACTAAAAGTCTAGAAAATCATAATTAAGCTATTGGTGGTGTCATATGGGGGTCAGATCAGTAGACGAATCTACTAATTACTTGTTATGGTGTGACTTTTTTTCTTTATGTAATTATTGAATGTCACTCTGTGCATGGCCAAATCAAGTTACTTGATTTGTTCTCATTTTGTTATTGAATATTATCTTGTGTATTTATTTTCAATTCTATCATTTCTCATCTTATCCGCAACATTGCTTAGTTTGACAATAAGCAAAATAAAATACTATTTTATTGTCTCAAGAGTTTGCTTAATTTGACATAAGCACAACATTGCTTAGTTTGACATAACCTCCTTGTGAGCCTTCATCTTCTAAAAGTCAAACTCCCTTAACACGGGTGACATGGAACCTTTAGAGCATGTTTGGTTATAACCTTTCTCGTCTAGGCTCTGTTTGTTTCGCCATTTACAGGTAAAATATATATATATATATATATATATATATATTTTCAATACTTAGCAAAAGTCTACATCAAGTGTAAAATATTGGGCTGAAAATATAAAATAACTTACTGAAAATTCATGGATAAGTTCTTTTTGTTAAATTTTAATATATTTTTTCTTTGTAAATATTTTACTGACAACCAAATATCAAAAAATAAAAAAATATTTTACATGCAAACAAACGAGCCTTAGTGTCCTTGAATAACCTATTTGGTGATTTGGTTGTCTCACTTAAATTGTTACCATCCTCAATTCACAAAAACAAAAAAATAAAAAATAAATAAAAAAAGTCAATTATCCCAATGAAAATCACTACATGAAATATACCTGTAGAAGCCGAAGAATTTTATTCCCAATGTAAAGAGATGCCGCCAAACAATAGTGTTATCTAATGGCAACATTATTCTGTTTTGAATAGTTTTACCTGAAGAGAAATTTCAAACTGAGACATACAAGTAGCATCTAATAGACTTTTGTTTAGAGTAGTTGCAAGTTGCACTTGCACATATTTCAAATAATAATCAAATATTTTCTTGCTTATCTTAAACTATAAAATCATACTCTTATATATTAACATTTACTTTTTTAACACATTACATTAAATAAGTAATTTTTTTATTATTATTAAATTTAGAATACTAAAAGAATATATATCTATATACTTATAAAATAATATTATTAAAAAAATTCTAATTTTAAAATATTTACTAATATAGAAAGATATATATATATATATATGTGTGTGGGTTAACTGTCACCCAAAACCATATTAGCAAAATATCAGTAGCAAATTTCGGAGATTTGCTCCGAGTGAGGACATTTTTGGAGGAAGAGACTGCGTGATATGCTGCAAAAAAATGTGTCCTTTGGAGACTGGAGAGGTTGCGTGCTGGCTGGCATCTTCAGAAAGATGGGAGTTTTTAGAGAGAGAGAGAGAGAGACGACTTTGTGGTAAATGATTACACGAATAAAACACAAAATCGCAGCCACTTTCCAACTTCAGAAAGTTAGGTCAATCACATCAATTAGTTTTATACTACATACTTATATGTAACGATTGACCGGATTATATAATGAAATTGTTTTATATTTTAAATTTTAAAAGGATACGTGACTCTTTTTTATAGGCCAAATTAAATTAATTATATATATATATATATATATATATATTTTATTCCTTCCGCTTAAATGTCGTCATTAGAATTTGTAATGGATAAAAAGACCAACTCACATTTTACCAAAACTATAATGGAGAAGTTAAAAAATACTGTAAAATCGAAATGAATGTCAATTTTTTATTTTTTGTTTTATTTAAGTATGAAATGAGTCAATCATCCACTTCAGTATCTTTAATTACTTATAAATTTTTATCATGCCTAAATAATGAAAAAAAAAAATTATCTTCTTTTCATTCATTTCATTTTTTATTACTTTAATATTAATAAACCTTAAAATCCCATCTTTATTTTTAATCAATTAAATAAAAAAAAAATTTCCCATTTTTTAATACCAAATGAGACAATAGAACACTCCACTAGGAACCATATTCTATACAATATTTTTATATTTTTATTGTCTCTTTATAGATATTTAATTTTAACCAAACAAGACGATAAAACCCACCAGGAACCATATTTTAATTCCCCAAGTGAGGTTGATAATCTCTAGAAGTCATTTTCTCTTAAAATTTGGCAACTTTAATCTACTTAACAATTAATAAGCCTACATCATATACGTAATTCCATTTAATGATCAAGACTGGGAGTTCAAATAATCATAACATTTTTAAAATTTAAATAAACAATTGTTACAGTGACTTATAACAGTTTTGCCTACAGCAATCTAAACTCATAAATCACTTATTAACCATCAAATGTTGTAATCCATTGACATCTTCTTAAGGATTCAAGTGAGTGAATTATTCGGCATTTATCAAAAAAAAAAAAAAAAACTTAGTAATTAATAGTAGTTAAATTGACTTACGTGAGAACAAGCCTGAGATGTGTAATGTCAAATCCATAAACTGAGGAGTTGTTGATGAGTTGAAGATGAGCGGTCAAAAACTTGCCATAGGGATCGACGGTCACCGAACGGACGGTGTAGCCGTAACCCACTGGTTCTTCTTCCTGCCCATTTGGGGTTGTTGCAGAGCAGAGAGTAAAAATGAAGAAATGGAAGATGAGAAAGAAGAAAAGATTATGATTGTGTATGGAATGAGATTGTTTGTCTCTCATTTCTGTTCCTGCAATATGGTCAAACCCAATATCCATCTCTTCTATATATAAACTTCTTATCCCATTAACATTAATTGTCTCTCTCTCTCTCTCTCTCTAATATTGATAAATAAAAAATAATTTTTTTTTTTTTTTAACATGAACAACACTGCATTTATTCATGCTTCTTGACTCCCCTCTTTCTAAACATGTGGACAACTTGCTAAATTAAATACTGTTTTGCTGTATAGAAAGTGAGTCAAAATAACGTATTAAATACTGATTTACTAAATAGAAAATGACGTATTAAATATTAATTTGCTGCATAAAAAGTGAGTGAAAATGACGTATTAAATATTGCTTTGCTGTATATAAAGTGAGTCTATACAGCAAAGCAGTATTTAATTCAGCAAGTTGTCCACATATTTAGAAAGAGAGGAGTCAAGAAGCATGAATAAATACTTGTTCATGTTTTTTCTCATCCTGTGATCAAGGCTGTAAAATAAACTGATGCAATCATGAAATACACACTGTATCAACAATGCAACAAATTACATTGATGATGCACGACGCATTTAAATCAAATTATTACACTGCAGACATAATTAAATAAGAATATATGTAATCAAGGGCAGATTCAGCCTTTCTGAATGGAGTGGGCTAATTTTGGACTGGGCTAACATTATTATTATTATTATTTTTTTTGAGCTGGGCTTAAAGTAGTATGGTAATTTTGGACTGGGCTAACATTACCCACCCTTGGATCCGCCTTGTACGCAATACGTTTAGATTTTTGTTACATTTTCGATTTAATATTATTATGTCAATGTTGTATTATTGATTGCACCCAAATGTGCATAGAAGCGGATCGTGCATGATTCTATACACCCAATACGATTTCTCTGCAAGTCTCTCTCTCTCTGCATTTTTTCCCCTGGTGAGATAAAATTATGTATGAAATTATAATATAGTACTGGGTATGCAACAAATGATGACACAAACATTTTTATTTTGTTTCATTTTTTTTTTTAAATTTGAATATGTTATAATAAGATTATGTTACACGTGTGAATCATAGGGGTGGAGTTAGGATTTTAATTCAGAGGGGGCACTGTAAATAAAAAATTATAATTTAAATAAGAAGAAAAAAAAATTTACATACTATATACATCATTCTTAAATGCAAAAAGAATAATGTTAAGAAGTAGGGGGCCAAAAAAAAAAAAAATAGAAGAAGAAAAAGGGAAGAAAAATGAGAAATTTGAAAGGAAAAAAAATTAGAATTTGAGTAAAGAAGGAAAATTTAACCTTTTTTTTTTTAAGGAAATGAAATGAATATTAAGAGCACAAGAAATTTGAAAGGAAAAAAAATTAGAATTTGAGTAAAGAAGGAAAATTTAACTTTTTTTTTTTTAAGGAAATGAAATGAATATTAAGAGCACAAGAAAAAGGAAAGAAAAATTTAGAAGACAATTTTAGAAATTTAAAATTTTAGGAGGGCATTATATAGAATATTTCTTATAAATGTATAAATTAAAATAAAAATTACTATATTTATAGTGAGCGAGGCTAGACCAGGAGGGGGCATCGCCCTATTATGATATAAATTTAAACGGTGACTACATAAGTATTATTTTTTTCTAAAATTTAGAGCATGTTTGGTTATACCCTTCCTCATCTAGGTTCTGCTTGTTTCGCCATTTACAGGTAAAATATTTTTTATTTTTACTTTTTTGATACTTAGCAAAGATCTACGGAGTTCATTGAACGGGAAATATAAAATAGATAAGTTTTTTTTGTTAAATCTTAATATATTTTTTCTTCGTAAATATTTTAATGACAACCAAATATCAAAAGATAAAAAAATATTTTACATCCAAACAAACGGAACCCTAGTCTCCTTGAATAACCCATTTGGTGATTTGGTCGTCTCACTTAAATTGTCAATTCTCCCAATGAAATCACTACATGAAATATACCTGTAGAAGCCGAATAATTTTATTCCCAATGTAAAGAGATGCCAAACAATAGTGTTATCTAATGGCAACATTATTCTGTTTTTAATAGTTTTACATTACTAGCTGAGCCTCATCTCTAATGAGAACTCCTTCCCAATAGGTAACTTTACTGAGATGTCCACAGTAACAAATGATCCACTGCCATCAGAACTAGTTTTAATTCCCAAGTTTTCATGCAGATTTGCTCCCCTATCAGTAATCAACTCATAACCCTTCAACTTCGTAACACCTTTCAATCCTATAAAAGTCACTTTATCAATGAACCACTTCTGACTCACAGCAAATTCTCCATTAACAACCACAGATTTTACTTTTACTTTATTCTGTATTACACTGCCATAAAATTTTACTAAGCTCCAGTTCCCTCCCTCCCCTCCCATCTCCACTTCCTCGCCATCATCCAAGAAAACTTCACCGGTGCTGTTTTCCCTGCTGCTGATGACCACCAAGAGCTGGAATGGCGTCTTCCGAGCTGCTTGTGTTGTCATGGCTGCTCCTTGCATGGCCAATATGTTCCCTTCCCGGACATGCACGTTTATGTGATCAGGTGGTGCATCAAGTGTCACGTAATTTCCTGGATTCACGCTCACTGACTTCGAGTAGTTGAAGAGGTCAAACCAGTTTCCTGCTGGGAAGTATGCATTAACCGAGCCTGCCCCCGGCTCAAGCACTGGTGACACCATTACACCTTTACCGATAAGAAGCTGTGAGTTGATATTGTAAGTTTTGATGTCTTGTGGGAACGAGAAGAAAAGGGCCCGTGCAATGGGGATCCCTTTTATGTGTGCCTCGTACATTAATGTATAAATGTAGGGTAGTAGCCGGTAGCGGAGCCCAAGCACCTTCTTGGCTGTCGCAGCGACTGAATCCCAGACATAGAGCTCTTGACGGATAGTATACTTCTCTGAGTGGTCTCTTGCAAAGGGATAAAAGGCCCCTAGCTACATTATAACATGTTTTTCATATTACTTGCAGTCACAATATAAAAAACAAGATTGCATGATCACCCGAAATGATTTTTATGAAAGTTTAAAACCATGTTATTTTCCAAAGATGTCGAATAAGTAGCAAAATAGACTCCAACCCAAGTGCAGTGTGAAAAAAATCAATAGGTTTTACCTGAATCCATCGCCCGCAAAGTTCTTCAGTAGTGTTATCAGAAAAACCACATATATCAGCTCCAACCATTGGAATCCCAAACAGTCCAGAATTTAAGATGCTTGGAATTGTGTATGCTAGATCATTCCACGTAGCAGCGTTGTCTCCAGTCCAATGAGCTGTGTACTTGCCAGAGCCCACAAAAGTCGATCTAGAAAGTACGAACGGCCTTTTGCCAGTTGATTTGATTAATGCTGCTCCGGTAGCTTTTGATTCTAAAAATCCATAAAGGTTATGAACATTGTACTCGGTCATGTTACCGAAGTGTATAGCTGTTGCTGGGACAGTTTTCTCGTTAATGGGGCGTCGAATTCCAGCATTATTAATCTTATATGGAGGGTTGTCGAGGGTAGAAAATGGGGTGGGAGGGGATGAAATGAAATTGGATATCTCATTCATGTCAATCCAAAGGCCATCAACAGGCAGAAGATCTCGGAATATTTTGATTTCATTACCCCAGAAAATTCCACCAGCAGGATTTACAAAATCAGGGAAGTAGACTGGCCCTGGCCAAACGCTGCCTAGGTAAGGGACTCCATCACGTTTTATAAAGATGTCAGCTTGCATCCCTCTTATGAAGGTTTGATACGTCTTATTCACACTGATACCTGTGTTCAATAATACATAAATCTCGATTGTCAATAAAGAGATATTGAGTGTTTTAGCTAACTCGCAAAGTGCATTTGACTCGACTATGACTGTAAACAGATTGAGATTAATATTTGAAATGAGAGTTTGAGCAGAAAGGAACACTCTGAGTTTGTTGTGACTCACCAGGATCTAAGATGACTACATATTTCTGACCATTTCGGTGTAGTGTATCAACGAAATTCCTCATCTTGTCCAAAGGAAAATTAATGGGATCAAGAGTGAAATCCTTGTAGCCATCCATGTAATCAATATCTGTCCACATAACCTCGAGAGGGATTCCATGTTTTCGATACTCAGCAACCACATTCTCAACATCATAGATATCTTTGTAACCATAACGGCACTGGTGAAATCCTAAAAGACAATGAAATGTAAAGCAATGTTGAAATGAGAATTCATCACTAACCTTGAGACTAATCTAACTCAGAAAACACATAACGGGATTGTAGAAAGAGGGAATAATCCCGACTAAGCAATAAAAATGAATCCCAATCAGCCAATAAACAATTTTTCCTCACCCTTCCCTTCAAATTTTCCGGCTTCAAGAGTGCATGTTGGTTCCCAAGACTCAATGAATGGTGCATATAGCAATAATGACTAAATACACAAGTTTTGGGGTTTCCTCTGCCTGGATGACAAACTTCTAAATGTCCCCAAAAAAACAGTATTGAAATGAAATTGAACAAATATTGGAATGAAATTGAACGATTTAGATCACTTCGTAGTATTTGAAACACTATTTATAACCCAAAACATTAAGCCAACCTTTGAATTTCAAAATCCCATATAAAGAGAAATGAAAGCTCAAAATCTTAAACATTAACACAAAAGAGCATCATAAATTATGATAACATACTCAATTTTAAAAGTGTCGAATTTGAATGAAACAAGTGCAGTTTGCATACCTATTTCAGTAATAAGAAAATAAATTAAAAGTTAATATTCCTTTTTCTTCCCTGAGCTAAAGGTAAATCTTCATTAAGCCTACATAACTTGCCCGCTCAAATTAAACACTATGAAATGGGTTCCAAAACATTGCTCTTAAGCAAAGGAAAACGCAAACTTCTACATTTTCTTCTTGGAGAACCAAAATGTCCCTATTTTGCTAAATGAAATCATTTAACTATTCTAAACTTATCACAATAATTAACACTAATTGAAGAACCAAACAGCAAACTCATATGGGACATTACTGGGGTCTTGTAGATCAGAGACTGACCTAATATACGATACTAGGTCTATCCCAAAATTAATGTCTCTTTTGAGGAACTGAAGTGTTACTCACAATGTCTCTTTTGAGGAAATGAAGTGTTACTCACAGGAGACATTCTTTTGGGAGTCACGGTCCCCAAAAGACAAAAGAGACATTCTAAAGGGTCGAACTCTCGCGCTACTGACACTAAAATTCAAGCGTTAAACCACTAAATTATACTATATATTATATGTAATCAGAATAATAATATAAAGAATAATGTATCCTATACTAATTTACTACTTACCAAAAGACCAGTATGGCATTGGGGCAGGCCTTCCGATGAGATTTGTATACTGCTCCATAACCATTTCCGGCGTCGGTCCGGTGAAGAAATATAAATCAAGAATACCCCCAATAACCTTGTATGTAATTCTGCCACCAGTATACACAATGTCCATGCCATTACTGTTGAGCAACAATACACCGTGGGTGGTTCCCGCCGGAACTCTGCCGTCAGAATCCGGCGACCGGACGTCCATGTAAAAAGGGTGTGACCCATATAGATTGACATCAGGAGTTCGACTTCCGATGTCGGCGTTCCACATGGTCAGAGTCTGATTGTGGGTCAGCCTGAAGGAGCTCTTGGTGTGCTCTCCGAGGCCGTAGAGAGAGGATCTGTGTGGTGGAAGAGAGGAGGAGAGCTGGAGGTACTGATCCTTGAAGACGAGGAAGGTGCCGGGATCTGACGCATCCGGCGAGGTGTCGAAGAGGATGTCGCCGGAGGAGCGGCGGGAGACGGTGAAGCCGAATGGGGTGGAGTTGTGGAGAGTGAAGACGAGGTCTGAATCTGGGTTGGAGAGGAAGTAGTTTTTCGCTGAGGTTTGGTGGTATTCCGTTGAGGTTCGGTGGTTTTCCGGCAGACGACGGTGGGGGTGCGAAGTGCCGCGAGGGATGAATTCCGGTGGGACTTCCCATCTGGGATGATCGGCATCTGTGATTCGAATATTCAGGAGATCCCCCTCCGCCCAGCTGTGCAGTTAAAAATTGAAATACAATAATTTGATTTTGTTATGATTAGGTGTTTGTTTTAAAATAAAAATAAAAATAAAAATTAATTCAACTTTGAGAACTGGAACTCTGGTAATCTACTTTTAGGGGAAGAATGGGAGTTGATATATTAATAGGCCACGTAACTTTTGGAATTTAAATAACAATTCTCTTGAATTAATTAACTTTCGAAAAAATAAAAACTCTTAATTTTTTTTTTTTTTTTTTTTCATAAAGTCTTAAATTAATCATACATAAATGACCCCCACCATTTTTTTCACTTGTCGCTGTTGTATTCAACAAGAACCCCAAAAGTAATAATACTTGTGTTGATTTGTTGCGCCAAATTATTACACTAAATGTTTCTGATTAGTTATTTATACTAGTACATATAAGTGGAGGGTCTCATTTCTTTATTTATGTATAAATAGATCGATTAAAAAAAATAGGTCTGACAACTCATTACAACAAATCACATAAATAACGAAGTGAGGCCCTCCACCTATATGTACTATGCGTAAATAACCAATTAGAAACATTCCATGCAACAATTCAGTACAAATATCATTACTCTTAAAAAAAAAATTACTACTTATCGAATTCAATTTATGTAAGAATAGTGATAAATTTCATCACATATGGTAAGATAACTGACTCCATTTTCAGTCAGTGCTTAAATTATTACTCTCTTTATTTTAAAATAACTAACATTTTGAGAACTGTGATTCACAATTTTGAGACAGGAGAATATTTTTTATCTCAATTATAAATTCATGAAACTATGACTCAATAACAAAATATTGATTGTCAAATTTATTGTATGAAAAATGAAGTTAAAAAAAAAATATGTATAGAATTAAAAATGTGTTTTTAACAACAGTGGCATTGTTTTAATATTTTCTTACCCAATAAAACATTACTCGGACTTGGGTCCTTTACTTGACCGAACAAGATAAATTTCAAACTGAGACATACAAGTAGCATCTAATAGACTTTTGTTTAGAGTAGTTGCAAGTTGCACTTGCACATATTTCAAATAATAATCAAATATTTTGTTGCTTATCTTAAACTACAAAATCATACTCCTATATATTAACATTCACTTTTTTTAACACATTACATTAAATAAGTAATTTATTATTATTATTATTAAATTTAGAATGCTAATAGAATAGATATCAATATACTTATAAAATAATATTATTAAAAAATTTATAATTTTAAAATATCTACTAGTATATAGAAAGATACATATATATACCCAAAACCATATTAGCAAAATATCAGTAGCATATTTCGGAGATTTGCTCCCAGTGAGGACGTTTTTGGAGGAAGAGACTGCGTGATATGCTGCAAAATAATGCGTCTTTGGAGAGGTTGCGTGCTGGCAATGGCATCTTCAGAAAGTGGAGAGTTTTCACAGAGAGAGAGAGAGAGAGAGAGAGAGACTTTGTAATAAATGATTACACAAATAAAACACAAAATCTAAGTCACTTTCCAACTTCAGAAAGTTGGGTTAGTCACTCGCATAACATAAATTATTATATGATTCCTCATCTCTGTTTATGTCATTAGCAAACTATGCGCGACTCTTTTTTATAGGTCAAATTATATATATATACATACATATATTCTATATGATACATGAGTGATTTTAATGGATAATGGAAGAAGAACTCTGGACACTTTACCAAATTTAGACTCGGGGGTAGGTTCCTGTAAAATTGAAATGAATGTCGTTAATTTATATTTTAATATGGAATGAGTTGATCATTCACTTACTTATCTTTAATTACTATTGTAACAACAACTAGCACGCCATGTTTTCCATGATCTTTATTGATGTTTAGTTTTACTAATTTTTATTAGTCAAACTAATTAATATTGTAACAACTGAAAGAGACATTTCAGGGACCGCGAGTGATTTGGAATATAGAGTAATAAAATTTTATAGCTTGAAAGTAAACTTAATTTTTCAGTTTTCAATATCTTCAAAATAAACTTCATAAACTTTGTATTGTTAGACAGTCCTCTTATAAAAATTTATCACGCCTAAATAATGCAAAGAAAGTTTTTTTTTTTTTTTTTTTTTTTTTCATTTTTTATTACTTCAATATGAATAAAACCTTAAAATCCTATCTTTATTTTTTCAACCAATTAAATAAAGATAAATTTTTAATTTTTTTCACTATTTTTTAATACCAAATGAGACAATAGAACACTCCACTACGAAACATATTCTATACAATATTTTTAGATTTTTATTGTCTCTTTTTATATATATTTTTTCCTATATTTAATTTTAACCAAACGAGCCGATAAAACCCTCCACCAGGAACCATATTGTTAGATTTTAATTCACCAACTGAGGTTGATAGTTTGTAGAAGTCATTTTCTCTTAAAATTTGGCAACTTTAATCTACATTAACAATTAATAAGCCTACATCATATATGTAATTCCATTTAATGATTAAGACTGGGAGTTCAAATAATTATAACATTTTTAAAATTTAAATAAACAATTGTTACAGTAACGTATAACGATTGAGTTTTGCCTACAGCAATCTAAACTCATAAATCATTAACCATCAAATCTTGTAATCCATTGACATCTTCTTTAAGGATTCAAGTGAGTGTGTGAATTATTGGTCATTTATCAAAAAAGGAAAAGAAAAGAAAAAGTAATTAATAGTAGTTAAATTGACTTACGTGAGTAGCCTGAGATGTGTAATGTCCAATCCATAAACTGAGGAGTTGTTGATGAGTTGAAGATGAGCGGTCAAAAACTTGCCATAGGGATCGACGGTCACCGAACGGAGGGTGTAGCCGTAACCCACTGGTTCTTCTTCCAGCCTATTTGGTGTTGTTGCAGAGCAGAGAGTAAAAATGAAGAAATGGAAGATGAGAAAGAAGAAAAGATTATGATTGTGTATGGTATGAGACTGTTTGTCTCTCATTTCTGGTCCTGCAATATGGTCAAACCCAATATCCATCTCCTCTATATGTAAACTTCTTATCCCATTGACATTAATTGTCTCTCTCTAATATTAAATAAAAAATAATTAAAAAATATATATATATTTACATACCACATGACCATGTCCTTTTTCACTCACTTTCTATACTGCAAAGCAGTAATTAATTCAGCAAGTTGTCCAGATATTTAGCAAGAGAGGAGTCAAGAAGCATGAATAAATGTAGGGTTGTTCATGTTTTTTCTCGTCGTGTGATGGTAATTTTTCAAGGCTGTAAAATTAAACTGATGTGATCATGAAATACACACTGCATCAACAATGCACAAATTACATCGACTATTATTTTTTTTTTTTTTTTTTTACAAGACAAGAAATGTTAAAAGTTAAATTAATAAACTTAGTATTCCAAAAAAAATTTGAATATGTCATAATAAGATTATGTTACATGTGCAATGGGAATGGTATTAAATTTAAGCCGAGGTTACATAAATAATATCTTTTTTTAAAAATACTTATACGTACAATATTTTTCTTTTAGGTAGATTTAAATTCGAAGGGAAGAAGAATGGAAGCGGATAAGTTATTGTTTTTAAAGTGTATATTTGGGTGAAGGAAAATAAAGTAGCGGATAAGTTTTCGTTGGTAAAGAGTGTATTTGGGTTGAAGGAAAATTAAGTAAAAAGAAAGGAAAAGAAAGATAATCGTGTTACCTTACCAAACAAATATATATATATATATATATGGAAAAGAAAAGGAAAAACATGAAGGAGATAGTGAGTACTCGTTCTGCCTTGGTTGTTGTTTTTTATAACAACAAATATTATCAAACTATAAACTTTTACAAAAAAAAATTTTACATTAAAAAAAAAACCAGAACTAATTAAAAAACTAAAATATTATACTGTTTACGCTGTTCACCTTTATATATGGATTTAAATTTCTTTTAACCCAACCATACAAATTACTCAAGTACCCTCCAGGATTTAGATTATTTCGATCGAGGACTGGTCACATGAGAACACGAATCCAAGCATAAAAAGTCAAGCTCTGCTCCACTAGGTATTGGTCGGGTCCCATGACAACTGTTTTTTAAAAAATAAAAAATAAAATGCAGACAATATAGTTTATTATTAGATTTTCTGGTCATATAATCAGATATTAAGTCAGAATATATATATATACACACACCTGTGCTTATATTCCAATTGTTTTGAAATGCAAAAGCCGCAAAACAACCATTTCATAATTTTCTTGTGTTAAAAGGATTTTGACGGTGTTTGGCGCAGCTTCTTATTATCAAAAGTCCGTTGTTGGTAATTCCTTATCCTATAAGAAATTTTGAAAAACAAAAAATAATGTTTGGTTTGCTTTACATATGGGCCATAGGCCTCATATGTACAGCTCCTTTAATTATTATAATATTAGCTTCATTCTCCGGAAAAAAAAGGAGAGAAAAAGAAAGGCTACATTTGGATTGTATTAACATTCTGTATTATATATCCAGTAATGCTAAGGGCCGTCTTCATTGGTTATTTTTAATATCATTAATTAATTGTTTCTTATTTTTATGGTGCATTAAAAACTAAGTCATGTTTGGACAAAACTACCTTTCACTGTATGCAATCTTCTTAACAATTTTACTTCAACTAAAACTTAATTTCATAATTTTACTTCAATTAAAATTATAATTATAGAAATTCATATTTAAAGTGTGTGTGTGTATCACTTTCCATAAGGTTAGTCTAAATCCATATAAAACATGTGTGTGCATTTATATAATATATAAAAACATATTTAAAAGGCCTAATGACCTTTTTTAGACCAATAACATAATAAGCATACTTTTTTTTTTTTTACATGCTTTTTAAAAATATTGAAAAAAGAAAGAAAGGAAGGAAAGAATCCATTCACACAAGATGGATTCAGAGATTTATTACAAAAATATAAAGAAAAAAAAAATAAGGTAAGGCGTTTATATATGTTTATTTCTTTTTACAACAAATGAATTTTTTCCCTTTCTTTTTTGTTTTCTTCTTCTTATTTTTACCTTAACTTTACATGTAAATAATTATTACTTTATAAACACTTACCTAACCAAAAAAAAATAAAATTATGTTGAATAAATTGCCTCTTTAAACTGGGCTAAAAAAATAAAAAGTAACTACTAAAAAAATTGTCTCTTTTGACATGGAAAAAACCCCAAAACAAATATATTTATTGAAAAAATTACAAAAACTCCCCAAAAAATATATATTTGTTAAAGAAATTATCCGATCAAAGTCCAATCGCTAGCCTCTATAATTACCCAAAAAATAATACGAAAAGAAAACTATTAAAAAAAATTATCTCTTTTGATAAGACCAAAGTAATATCAAATAAATTATTACTTTTGACAGGACACATAAAAGAGTGAAAAAAAAATTAACTTTGTTAAATAAATACCTATTTCGATTATACCCAAATATATATATATATAAATAAATAAGTCACTATGGAATAAATTCTCTCTTTTGAAGCCAAAAATAAAAGTAGGGAATAAATTATTTTCTTTGAGAGAAAATCCGAAAAAATCAAAAAGAAAGGGAAATAAAAATAGTAAAAAAAAATATAGTAAAATTGTATAATAGGTAATTACTTAACATAACATAATGTTCAAAATATTGAAAATCTCCCCAAAGATTTACAATTTCATTTTTATTTTTAAATACTCATGTTCAATACATACAGATGAAGACCGGGCATCATATTTCTTAACATAACATAATGTTCCGCAAGGGTTGTCAAATGTTAGGTCATGCATGTGGTCAGGGAGACTATATTCGCATTCCGCTTCTCTACATCTACATTACACCTTTTTTTTTTTTTTTTCTTTCCTTTTTTTCTTTCTTTAAAGTGAATGACAAAAAAGTTCATAATTAAACTAATTAAGGCATCATCTCTTATTTCGTTATACCCTAACTACCCTTTGTACTATAATCTTTTTTTTTTTTTTTTTTTTTTTTTTTTTTTTTTTTTTTACTTACTCTAATGTTTTTTTTTTTTTTTGCCCTCCCGCCACTCTCTACCCAATTTACAAACAACAAAATCTCTCTTTTATATTAGGGGTTTGATTGTTGATAGGGTTTCAACTTCTATTGTTCTTTGGATGGGGTTCAGTCCAGGTTAAAGACCTTCTGCATCTCCAGTGCTAGTTTTTAATGCGTTTAGTGTGGTTGCTGATCTTGATGATGGAATGGCATCCAAACACAACTAGGCAACGCCTTATTTCACTCGGATGCACATGTACTCTCTCGTATTCTTCGTTTTATTTTATTTCTGTATAATTAGGAACGGAGCCAAGAATCATAATTTAGGGTTTGAGCGAAAAAAAATTAAAAAATAAAGTTCAATCCGGTGCATGAGACTTTTCTCATTACAGAGTTCTTGCTGAACTAATACTATATATTTTAAAATTGAAAATTTTATAAATCAATTTTAATACAATTGTTTGTATTATATTATTCTTATTATTATATATTGAGAAAAAATATACAGTTCTAAATATGAGAAAAATAAACCTAAATAAGTAATTATGAAAACTAATATGAAAAAAAATAAATAAATAAAGAAGAGGAAGAGATGAATTGTAGGTAAATTTTTTTTTTGTAAACTCAGTGACAAAATGGTGAATAATTATTGAACAAAAAAAGATTGTAAGAACATGTGCGTGTGTAAAAAAAAAAAAAGAGAGATGTTGACACAACACTCCAATTCAATGGCAATGACTGTAATATATATTTCTTCCGCACATCATATGGACTTTATTTTTTCTATGTCATTTAGATACCTATTATAAGTCTTCTTTCTTTTTCTTTTTCTTTTTTCTTTCTAAAATTGATATTTAGTCCATACCTATGTAGCTACATAATTTTAGAACGCCTAAATTGAATGAAGAAGATACTGCTTCTAGTAATTTTTTTACGCTTCTAATATTATTTCAATATACTAACAAATAACATATTCTATTAAACTTTGCAATCTTGTTTGCTTATATATATAGTAGGAATACCAATTGGAAATCTCGAAGACATCACACGTGATTTGTGGGGAGAGAGGGAGGAGGGTGATTGTGGTATTTGAAAAAAAGTTAATATTTATTTATAAAATTAGGGATATAAGTGTCATTTCTGTAGGGTAAGTATAGAGAAGCAGAGTGCGAATATTGCCTCCTTGTGCTTAATAATAACATAGAAGAGAGGATAAATTTGCAGATCATGTATATCCATTATTGTCCTTTATTTCAGAATGGCTGGCAACATCCGTCTGCAGGTGGTTTACAACCTGCTCTGCTAATTCAGTTGGACGCCATTAAAAAATTGCGTCAAGACTATGCTGTCATGGAGATTAATTTACAAAGGAGGCTGCAGCTTTGATGAGAAATCATTTACCGGCATGGCGTCAAAGCTGTTGCATTCCTAAAAAAATGTGGCTGGAAGCATGGCTATGTCACAATTGAGACTTCTTAAAGGATATGTTTAATGAACTAAAATTTTCTAATATATTTTGTAAGTTGAGACTTCTTAATGGATATGTTTTGTATGGGTGGAGAGCCCCTTATGAATAGATTCTGTATAGGTTGAGACCGGTACTCAGTGAAGATGAAATTGAGACTTCTTAAAGGATATGTTTAATGAACTAAAATTTTCTAATATATTTTGTAAGTTGAGACTTCTTAATGGATATGTTTTGTATGGGTGGAGAGCCCCTTATGAATAGATTCTGTATAGGTTGAGACCGGTACTCAGTGAAGATGAAAATCCTGGCTCTTGCCGGTCCAGTGGATGAGATATGTGGTGGAGACAGAATCTTAGGTTATGATAAGTATCAATGGAGGCCTGGAGGGTTTGGCTTGGAGTGGAGACGAAATTGGGTAATTGGAAGGGAATGCACAGAGGACTCGTTGGAGTAGACACGTGATGAAAACTCTCTCTCCCTCTCTCTCTCTCTTCACCCCCCTATTCTTTTCCGAACCCTCTTTCTGTCCTCCCAAATGGCTAAATATCAAAATATAAATAATTCAAAACCCATGAACAGACTCAACCCTCTTCCCTAGCTAACTTGCACTTCTGCCCTTAATTAATATAATATATCAGCCGAACATAAACCCGTTTCTCTCTTCCTTCTCCTTCTCTTCCCTCTCTCTCTCTCTATCCAAGTAGATGGTGAATTTTCATCAATTGTGGATGCTTGCTCTATGATTAGCCATGGATTTTAATTCATGAAAAAAAAAAAAAAAAAGAGGACTGCTGTCACCAAGTCAAGGACCTAGGACTCTTTATTCAAAAGAAAATGAAATGTGAATTAGGTGTTGTGATGTATCATCACAGAATAAAAAATTCATGTAACTAAAACAATCCGACATTCAAATTTAGATGCTGTGTTGATTGAGAGGCTTAGCCATAATACCTGTCATAAATAATTCTACCAACTATGAGATCCTCTGGAAGGAAAAATCAAATTGAATAACATGGGGCTTTACTTCCGCGGCAAAAGAAAATTACACACATTTCTGGAACTGTATCATCAATAACACAACAGTCAAAATTACAACTTCAATCCAAAAAGAAAAAGATATAAAAAAAAAAGGTGCAAACCCTAATCTAGAAAATTTTCACAGTGCACGCCAAACAGACTTGCAAGACAAATACACAACTACAACACAAACCTTACATTATACCATAAGTTGCTTCTTATTGTCATACTGCTGCCTTTTTAGCGCCTTCGGCTATGCCTCTTGCTCCTCCTCCGGCTGCTCCTATCTTCAGAATCAGATTCAGACTCCGAGTCTGACTCAGAAGACTCAGAAGTTGAGCTGTATCTACGGTGCCTCCTCTTCTTCTGCTGCTGCTTCTTATTCCTCCTCCTCCTCCTCTTCCTCTCTTCCTCTGAATCAGAGGATGAACTGTAACTTGAATCACTCTCTCCGGAAGAATAATCTGATCCAGTAACTGATGATGACCCACTATCAGACTCAAAAACTGAAGCCTCACTATCGCTTTTTGACTCAGTATCTGACCTATGCTTCCTTTTGCTTCTCTTTTTACTCTTCTCGCCCTTTTCGCTCTTATCACTCTTCGCCTCTTGAGGAATATCTGGGTTATCCAAATCATAAGAGATTGACACCTTCATCCTTAATTTCGGATTTTTGAGTTGCTGGGTACGAGAAGGTCGTGAAATGTAAACCCTCTCATTCTTGCACTCATACGTCCAGTGCCCGGTTTGAAAACACTTTTGGCATTGCGAAGCTGTACCACCTGTGGTAGACATTGAAGACTTGAGATCTTTCCTTTCACCCAATTTTACTTGTTTCTCAGTACTCATCAAATACATCTGTCGCTTCGCCTCCTTCCTCTCCTGCCATCTGCTGGGCCCTTCTTCCTTCTGCCCATATGCATTTACATTTCGGGCCGCAGCTGCAGCTGCTCGCTCAGCCTGAGCACGGCTAAGGCCTTTCGCAGCTGTCAAAGCTGCAGCCTTAATTCTTTCTGCCGCATCCTGGGCACCTTTCTCTTCTTTCTTACCTGATGACATGTTCTTGTTGTTCAGTAGATTCTTCCTCCACAGGATTTTAAGCAAGTTCAATTTGATACAAAAGCCTGCACTCAAAAAAATCTGATGTTAGTCATTCACTTAGTCAACACTTACTCTACCTAATAATATGTTCAATGATCAAATGAAACCTGCAGCAGAACGACCACTAGATGTGGAATGGCTACAGTCCCCATTAATTACTTATGTATTCATTTAAGCTCTCTCTCATACGCCCCCCACCCCCACATCCCCTTTATAGAGCATGGACTCTATAAATTTTCATCCTGATTTCTTATTTTGAGAAATTTTCTTCTAACCATCTAATGTCAGAGGTGGCCCTCATTCTTTACCTCAGAAATTCAAATACTTGGAATGATTGAGGGGGCAATAAAAAAATCTAAAAAATTTCTACAAAATCAAATAAGCCCCATATAATTTTAGAAATTCCAAAGGCAGCTCTACCCCCTCTGCTGAATCATGGTTGCCATTCACATGAGATAATTTCTCAATTTACAATAGACATTCACCTTGTCAAATATTATTCAAACTTATTGAAAAAGCCAAAATAAAGAAATAAATAAATAAATAAAAGAAGAAAAACAGCATTTCTAATTTCAATATAGAATGCAATCAATAGTGACCACCAGTTCAGATGTTACTTTGAATGACCTTATTTGCCTTTTACAAAGCATTTCAATGTGATAATTCATCGTCTTAAATAAACATTTGAGAAAATTGTAACTTTTTTAGAAAATAAGTGAATTGTCATTATAAACAAAATAAAAAATGACAAAATACAAAGAAATACGCTGGTTGCTCTTGAATGGTTCATGATAGATGAAGGACTTCTTCATTAAAATGCCAAGTAAAATTGTGAACCGAGCTATTGAAATTCAACAAATGGCCAAATTCAAAATAGGCCCTAAATGGGCAAAAAGAAAATTAGATCAACCAAAATCATGAGCTACTTTTACTAAGGGGAAAAAAAAAAAGGAAGAAAAAAAATTAACTGCAATTAGGTTAGCCAATGCAATAAACTTCATAACTCCCAACAAATCAACAGACTAAACTGAATCCTATATAATGACACTTTTGCAACATAAACCTACTTTCCTGAGGAGAAAATTCATTTTAAAATGACAATAGAGAAGACTAGAAAATTATAAAAAATGAAGAGTGGGTGACAGGGAGAGAGAAACAGCAATTCAATCAAAATGCAGTTAACTCAAATCAACTTATGGGAGGATATTAAATTCAATACATAGAATGTCAAAACGCTAGATTTTATTCTTCTTTCGTAGCAAAACTGAATATAATAAAGGCCCTTCAAAATCACCAGAACTCATTGTCTTTTAATGACATAAAAGAATATGACATGGATTGTGGATACACAGATCTATATACAAATGCATATAATAAGTATCATATGTACATGTCTATACATGTATGAGAACTTAAATATGCACTGCCAAATAAAATCAATTTTTCAAAGAGTTTAAACTTAAAACACACACGACAAAGCAAAATCGCCACAGGAAGAGAGTGAGATCCTGATTTGGTTATAAAACAATTCACCTAGAAATGATGCCTGAAGCATATATAGCAAGTACAAGTCAAAATAACCCGAACTGCGCCTCGATTGAGGGGTGATGTGGACTGAAACCATCCAAAGGCTTGGCATTTGGTAACTAACCTTTTTTCTCCTTCTTTTTTTGGATATTGGTTGGTCACTCTACTCACTCCTAAGCCAGGTCATAAAGGTTACAAAATGGGTTAAAAAATAGAGTTACAAACATTTTGATCACATTTTATAACTGTTAGTACTTAATATAAGAGTGGGGTGACCAACCGATACCCAAAAAGGAAAAAGAAAAGATCAATTACCAAATGCCAAGCCTTCAGAAGGCTTGAGCCGACATCAACAGTCAATTGAGGCACGGTTCGGGTTATTTTGACTTGTATTTCACTACCCAGTTTCGAGTCCAACTAAACCTAATTCATACATACCATAGGTCCGTAACCCTAATAAAAACGAAGGAAGAAGACACGCGAAATGCAACAAGTGTACACAATCGACTAACTCAAAGAAAGGCTGAACACAAAGATGAGGTGATGGAGCTTACAGATCGCAAGATTAGTGGTGGTCCATGACAGAGAAGAAGTCACCACCCCGCACGAGAACGAAGATCTAGGGTTTTGAGAATTTGGTTTCAGAGATGAAGAAGACAAATTAGAAGAAGAATTATGGTTGCTATTAAGAATTTAACGCATTTGAGAGGCTTGAAGAAACGTGAAACAAGGAGGTGTAGGATTGGTTCGCTCAAAGATTGAGATTGGTTCAGTTTGTTCAATTTCATGTTACCACAATGGCTGGGTTCTGATTTGTGAAGCAACTTCACCATCACTTCCATTGTGTATAAATAAAGCATCTAGTCGTTCGTTCTTAAGGCTCATGGAAATCTTAGTAAGCAGCTGTGTGTTGCTCATGAGTACAATAGTCATTCATGAGAGGGTTCAAATATCAAGAAACAAACACTTTGTTTAACCTCGGACAAAACTTCAATTTTGTCCATGAGCATGAACGCATTTAAACAAATAAAAAAATAAATTTCAGCTTATGCCTGCTAATGCAACCGAGAAAGCAATCTGAGATCTATTCAAATCCCTATAATTCAATCCCAAACAACATGAATCATTAACCAAGCAACTTTTTAGTTTTGGTAAATTACAGTGAAACCACTCCACTGCAGTATTAGGTATACAAAGTTTGGATTAATTCCGATAATAAATCCCTCTAATTCAATCCCACACAATATGAATTATTAACCAAGCAACTTTTTAGTTTTGGTAAATTACAGTGAGACCACTCCACTGCAGTATTAGGTATACAAAGTTTGGATAAATTCCGGTACATAAAATCCCTATTTCAATATCGTAATTGCTAAGCTTAATTCTGGGTCTCATATTCATAATTGACAAGAAACTTAAAAAATATATTATAAGGTACTAATAATCTACCCGATCAAGACCTACAGGATTAAAAGATTACTCTTTCGTGCGAAAGAAACCTTTAAACGCTGCAAAGGATTTATCATCACATATTATATACACACACAAACAAATCCAGTAATTATTATTATGTAATTGTATATATGAAATTTCTTATAGGTATTGGATGTATGCATACCTAATGTTTGAAGGAAATCAGCGAAGGTCGTCGATCGCGGCTGATCTCACTGATCGTCCGTCACAACAGAGAAACGAGAGATGCGAGGTCGGAATGAGCGGAGATTTGGGATTTTAGGGTTTGTGGGGGACTAGGGGCAATTTTTGTATGGACTTGTGGCTCTGATATTAATATAGGGGCTTATGCTATATGATTTTACCGGGTCTTATTGGACGAATACATACCGGCTAGTACTTAAATTTTTATTACTACTAGTTGGGCAAAGTGATAAAAATATTATTAATGTTCAAACTTTTGGGCAGATAGCCAACAGAAAAGCCCAGGTTAAGATTCCTTAATGAATTATCTCACTCGACGCACTATACGCTATGTTCGTTCCAATTATATTTGTACAACAAGCGTCTGCGCATATATAATATTTATGATTCGGATGAGCCTGGCACACTAATAAAACCAATATCTATTTGGCATAGAGGCCTTTATTTTTACTTTTTAAGACCATTCATAACACTTTTAACCTATGATTTGCAGTCTTAATATCAATCGCGGTCGCGATGTAATAAAACCGAACTTGTATCGACGTCACATAACGAAATCAATTTTCGCAATTAAAAATTTGTTTAACCTTACACATAAGCCCATATATGCAATTTTATACAACATAATTTGATAAAGATGCGTAACCAAAGAAATGTTTTTTTGTCCTTGCACATAAGGCCCAAAATGTATCACAATTTTTTACAACATAATTTGATAAAAATGACTATTTAGTGACTTTTAGTGAACTTTATTAATTTTTTAAAGACCATTTTACACAAGTATAACTTATTTATAATTCGTAGCTCATTGTATTTATTAAATTATATATATAAATAGCAATTATATATTTTTACTAAATTATTGATTATTAATAGATTTAAAAATAAAATTATAAAATATTTATAACATGTTAGAAGAAAAAGAATTATATAAAAGTCAAAGGAAACTTTTCATACTTTTAACCTTCTACAACAAATATAATATTATGCTTTATATTTTTGTCATCTATTACATATGAGAATTGAATAAAAATTTAAATGATGGATATTCTTCCCTCAAAATTTAGGATAAAGTATTGAAGAGAATTTGAAACTAGTCTAAGTAAATTATTAAAAAAATAAATTAAGTGGAAGAATATATTGAAAGAAAAATATAAATAAAATCGCAATTATAATAAGAAGTATTTTCGTAATCTAATTGTGTAATTATAAAAAGATTTTGGGAATAAGGTTAAAATTTTCACACTTTACAACGATAAAAAATAATTTCTTGCCCCATTTCCAGAGAATTCTAAGAGGAGTCTCCATCACGTGCCTGCCTTGGGATAATAAGGATAAGGAAATAGCAAAAAAATAAAAGAATCTTTGCAATGGCATGGACTCGCCAAAACCGAAAGTTAGATTCAAAGGCTGGCATGAAGAAGGGTTTTAACCTTCCCTCTGAAAGTTGATCGTAGAGATCTATTTTGAGTTTTGGATGCAAGAACTGAGTTATCACGTATTCTCACTTGCCAGTAGTTTTTTTCTTTTTTTTCCCTCTTTGTTGGCTGGTTCGGGAGACGAACCAGCCTGCCAAACTGGCCAATTTGCCGAACCATTGCCGAGCCGATTGTTGCAAATTCTCAGTCACACCGGTATACCGGGGTTTAACGGAATCGGTGGTCTGAAACCGGCCGGTTCGGCAAATCATGTTTTGACCTCCTTAGACTTAAACCTTCTAATCCCTAACAACGGGACACTGTATATGCAAAATGAAAAATGGAAAAAGTCGTCTTATCCAAAACCCCAATTATGACATCCCTTCTGGGGACAAAGTAAGCCTCCTGAAATCCACTTGCCAAAATGACTTTTGGCTACGTTTGGAGCATAGGAGCACCAAATCGAAAATTTTATTTTAAAGTTTAAATTGAATTTTTTTTCGATTTCAATTACAAGACACTAATTCGGTACTTTCAAACACAATATTTGAGCATTTCCGTCTCCAGATCTCTTCTGAATTACTACGGAAATGAGATGCTTTCCATGAAAGTATAACTTGCCAACTCCCTAAAATTCAACTAAACATCCAAAAGTAGGTATACATATAAAACATGATGAATTGATTAAATATGCCCCAAATAACAAACAATTTCTGATATATAAAGAGAGAAAATGATGAGAGTAGACATCGTTGGAGGACAATGAGAAGATAGCCTCTGCATCCTACACGCTCGGTCCTGCTTCTGTAAGTAACAGTATAACTAGCAACATGTTTTACTCCCCCAAGAACAATCAAAAAGGGAGGAGAAGACAGAGACATGGACATGTATATGACGGTTAAACCTTATTTAAGAGACAAAAGGCATGGACATGTACATGACGGTTAAACCTTATTTAAGAGACAAAAGGCATGGACATGTATATGACGGTTAAACCTTATCTAGAACTATTCACGAAATTCGTCCATGAATCCTTTGTGGAATTCTGTCAATCGAGAGACTACAGCCGGAATCTTATCCTCCTGAGGCAGTATTGTGCACCTAATATGCCACGTTCCAGGAACCTTCAAAAAATCACAAAACAAATAAAATTCATCAATCAAGTTCAAAGAAATTGGGGTAGACTAAACAGTTTGCACGACAAACCATCCAATATTGAATGCATCTTCAATTAATGGAATTGAAGCAAACGAAATTTTGCATTTGGTTCAACTCTTTCAATGAAATGATAATTCAAAAAATATGACCATCTGATTTGCCGACATTAAAATAGGATATTTTTCTTCCACTCCGAACCATCAGCTATCAACAGTCAGACAAGGCTAATACACAGACAGAATCATGGAATACAATCAGCAATGACTTCAGTGATACTCACCTGCCCAAATCCAGATCCAGGAACAACAACAATTCCCGTGGCATTGAGGAGGCGACGAGCATAGAATGCATCTGGGGCTGCTCTTGCTGCCTCTGCTGCTTTTATTGCCTTCTGGGGTAGGTGAATTCTCGGAAAGAGATACATTGCTCCTTCTGCTTTATTGCATGTCACACCCTCTAAACTGTTGAATGCCTCTTCTAGTGTCTGTTTAAATGTGAAAAAAAAAAAAAAAAAAAAAAAAAAAAAAAAAGAAAGGAAATTGATCAAATAAATAATACAGATTTAATTGTACGGCAAATTTATTTTTCTTAAATTCACAAACATGTTGGTTTCACTTGTTGAATTTTATATATATATATATATATATATATATATATTCTTTATTTTAACTAACCTTTGCACGCCTTGCTAGTGATGAGAGGATTCCATCTTTCTCTGCAGTATAGGACTCATAGGATTCATCTCCAACCTGCATTTATCCAAAGAAATAACATTTAAAAGAGTAGGCTAAATAGATTTTTTTTTTTTTTTAAATGGAAAAGAATTACTAATGGATATCATACTTGAAAATTGTTTTATGCTGTTCATGAAACTACAGAGCAATTTAATTATGCTCAATGACAATAGAGTTGCAGTCCAATTCCTTGTTATAAAGGAATAAACTATCTATATGCCCAAGACTTGCCTAACAAGAAATTTTCTAAACAAAATACAACTCTAAACTAGAATTCTAATTACAATAGGAATTTGAGATACAATATCCAACCCTAGATTTGTGATAGGTTATAGGTCGAGACTTATGAGAGTGTGAATGCAAGAGATGTAAGACAGTCAACTTGTAAAGTAGATGCGGTGTGAGGGTCTTGGATCATTTACCTACCTCACTCTATCCATAGGGGTTAGGAACTAGAAGAGTAGAGAGAAAATCGATAGCAAGAAGGAAGTCTGGTAGAGTAATACACCTGAAGAACACTGACCTGATTTCACTAGGTTTAAGCCCATCTAATCATCACTCTTTAACCAAAAATGGGGAATTAATAAAGAAAAACACTAATGCAAAGAAGGAAAACTAACCTTGGGAGGATTCATGACGAGGCTTGTGAGAATTTGACCAGAGATATTAGAACAAAGATTCACAGATGCCACTTTGTAAATTTGTTCCCTTACTTCAGGACTAAAACCAGTTATTTCCATGTATCCTCCTCTTTTTCCACACTCCCCATAATACCCTGATGCCAATAAAAAACCAATGGTTCATTAGCTTGAACATTTCCAAAAGTCATATCTTGATCAATATAATTGAAAAGAGCAACAAACCTTTAGAAACTGACTGAAAAGATACTAAGGATATATCCTTCTCACCATACCCCATAGACCGGGAAATTTTCTTGAATGAGTGAAACTTCTTGTCAGGAACGTAAACGTTTTCCTGGTATACCTGTACAAATTCAATCTAGATTGTTAAAAGCCGTTATAGTAGCTATTAGTGCAATGAGAACATTCAGAGGCATAGGCATGTGAGGTGAATTTTGGTAAAGAATGGCCAAATCAAAACCCACCAAAACCCAACCTCAATTCAAGTTCCCTAAGAAATACTCAATCTCCCAACATAACTTGTAGAACTATGAGTCTGGAAAAATCTACTCGCCTCATCTGCCAGAAGAACAAGACCCTCTTTCTTGCAGAAGTCCACAATTTCCCGCTGGTTGTCCTCCGCAAGAACCTGCAGGCACAGATTATTAGTATCATCGGATCACAAGACAGGGTCATGAGTTATAACTAAAACACAATCAGCTTCCATCAAAACAGTCTCCTATGAACAAATGTCAGATGTCTTGATGTTATTATTAATATTCTGAAATCTGGTCATCATTACCTGCCCTGTTGGGTTTCCTGGATTTATTACAACCAAGGCCCGAACTGTAATGCCATTGGACCTGGCATCTTCCAATTGCTTCTTAACCTCAGAAATCTCCAATCCCCATCCAGTTGCTTCATCAAGGTAGTAAGGAACCTGCAAGAGCCAGTTAAGGAAATATATATCAGATATTCTTTTCACTAATAAAAACCATCAGAAGATAAAATGAAGATTTTAATTTGCAAAATTAACATGCTTGGTCAATAACAGACATAAAATTCACACAAGGTAGCCTAGACAAAGTTCAAGCTTTGCTTATGGCCAGCCAAAAATTAGCACCTAGTATAGCTGACCAACCAACTTGACTCATAAGTTCCCCCTATTGCTTCTATATAATGAAAACATACTAGAGTGCCACCATGGAGGGCAATTGAAGCAGAGTACAGAGGGTACTGAGGAATGGGACAAAGAATTCCATCCTTCTCTGATCTTATCAGCAACTGCATCATCATATGGACCTGCGAGGGGGGGGAGAGAAAGGAAAAAGTTCATACATATTTGAGACTGAAGTACCTTTAGTTTCTGAAAATTTTGATATACATAATAAGAATAAGGGCATGAAATTAATATTCACCGCTGGGCTTGCACCATCTGTCAAGAAAATATCATTTGGATCAGAAGGAAAACCATCACGGTCTTCAATACCAGCAGCAATTATATCACGTAATCCCTTGATACCCTGATGAGAAACAACAAAAGTGTATGCCATATGACATATATGCAGTTCTGCACAAGTGATGTATTAACTCAAAGTTTCAAGTTCTGCCTTTGTTACCTGACTATGACTATACGCACCGGTAGCTCTTCCAGGAATTTGATCCAGAATCTGCCAAGCTCGCTCTATGGCATCCGCACTACAATAAGTCATAAGAAGAACAAGAAAGGAATTAATCAATTGCTAACAGTAAGTCCAAAAGAATTCTTTGCTATGCCAGATTAAGGAATTTGTAATGCAAAGGTGGAGCGAAAAGTGAGATGGCTTCCTCTTCGCATTTGACCTGCACAAGTTTGGTAGAAGGTTTTATGCGCAAGTGTTCTTGGACTGACCCTATCTACATAAATTTGCTCTTTTCCCCAAAGAGGGGGAGGGGAAGGGGGTGGGATGATAGTGGTTGTCAACAGTAAGAATCGGACCTAACTCCATGGGGATGTTCACTAGACAGTCCGTGTTTTTACTTCCCCATTTCACTAGACAGTACAGAAAATTTAGCAATTATACTACACAATAAACAAAAGGTGAAATGCACAAAAAAAACCTCAAACTATTATTTTTTCCAAATAACCCCGTTGAACTATTAATTTGGCAGAAAGCCCCCTTAATTTTCACAAAATATTGCAATTACCCCTTCTGTTAATTTGCCATTAAAAATTTAACAAAAATTGTAGTCACATGTCATGCACGTTCTATGTGTTACTAGAATTAAGACCATTTTGCTCTTATACTCGATCTGTAACCACTTCGACACATTTACCATCAAACCCATTTCCTCGAATGCCTACACTGCATCATCGCTCATAAACCCAAGACCTGCAAATAGACAGGTCCTTTATTGCTCAATCTGAGTAGACGAGTAAGTTGGTAAAAATAATTAGTGAAATGACATTGTTTGGCAAATGGATATATTAGTAATTTTCCATCTCAACTAACGGCAAATATAACGGCATGGACAAATTTGCAAATTTTTTCTAGTTCCATGGGTTTGTCGCGATGTTGGGGGTATTTGCGAAACGTTGATAATTCGAGGGGCTTTTTACATTTTATCCATAAACATATAATAACTCATAAAGCATAAAACTAGCTACAAGTTTTCTGTACCTGAACAAACCCTGAGTTTCGCTTCTGTCCAATATGGATGGATGATCACACAGTGCAAGAACCTAATGTAAGGATTACCATGATTACAACTTAATCATGCATAAATGGAACTACAGTATGTTCTAAAAAAGATTTGCAGCACACAAACCTCTCGGAAAAAAGTAATTGGATGCTGACCAAGAGACTGGGGATTTCCAATATTACAGTAAAGTATCTGTCAAGAAGATGGGTAAAAAAATAAGCATAGAAAAAGAATGCTTAGGAAATCGAGTAGGAAAAGGCCAATATTTATGCATAAAGTAGTGGTGAATGGAGAGAATGAGAGAGATTTAATTTTCAATATAACAAATATCCTTGTTTATTACCATAGGCCTTGTAACCTGGTGGTATCTCCTCTACCTCTCAAAGTGGATGGTGAGGGTTTGAGTCCCCAAAGTGGTAAAGTGGGTGCGTGAGTGGGGTGTGTGTTTCTTGCCAATGAAAATATATATATATATCCTTGTTTATTTTCTAGAAACACTTTTTAAAGAAGTAAGGAACAACATCCGGCCAGCAGCGGTTTCTTAATTAGTCAAAGTTTGCCAGTTCAAGCATGAAAAAATGAAATTTATCTTCAATTAGTTAAATAATAAAAGGTTAAGAAAACATGGATTACTTGATTATGGAAATCAGTATTTAACTGAAACAGGAAATGGAAATTTTCCATATGGATACCAAAATGCATTCCAAATATGCATCTGAAACAATTTTTTGTGAATAACATAATGAAGAAGGACAAAAAAATAGTACCTCATCAAACTGGCGAGAACCTGGGTTTGCTTGTAATTCTTGCTGCAATTGCTGAGACAAGCAGACACAACATCTTAGATAACTCCAGAGAGATGAAAGCATTGTAGAAATTCTATGATAATGTCCAGAATATACAAATACACATTATTTAGTATTTACCCAAAAGTCATTTGGGTATGTGAGGTCAAGGTAATACACATTGTTTACCCAAACACCATTCAGGTATGTGAGGTTAAGGTACCTTTTTAAAATTTTCTTTATGGGTGGTTCTTTGTGTAAAAATGGGTGCTTCCTTGGATATGATGATTCAAAAATGGTGCCACAGAACTAGTTAATGCATTTAGCTATATTACCTGCGCCAAGGTGACAATCTCACCACGAACAGCGTACTCGCACTTTAAGACCTGACAAGATAGTAAAATTTGTTACTGAAAATATTGACAAGAACTATAAATTCAACAAGTGAAGTGAGGGCCAACACCATTGGCTTTGATACATCACAGTATGCCAAAGGAAGATGACCACGTCTTGAAACATTAACAAACTATATAACTATAATTTAAAATCTATATCTATAGTCAGGTAAGCAATTATGAGTAACAGTTAGATAACAGAAAATTAAATAAACGCAATCACACACAAGAACAAGAAGATTTACACCATAGGGGAAAAGCCACAAGACTATAGGACAAGCAGGTCAAATCCACCATGAAGAAAAGGTATTACAACACTAGCAACAGGGTAATAAACCTTAAGACACAAAGAATCAATTAACTTCGATCTAGACTCACACCAGATGTTCACCTCAAAGTCCACATGTTATTGATCAACAAAACCATTCCACACGCGGTCCACTTTTTCGGTGATTTATCTTTTTTACTAGCTGTCCAACTTGCTTGTCTGTTTTGTTGTTGTTGATGTCCTTTAAAGAACTCAAATGTGATGAATCAACACTCGTGAATCTACTCACCATCTATATGCTTCAATGATGAAAAGAAACAAAATATCCTAAACTACCAATATATACTCTTGAATGGATGCAAGTATGCTTCTCAAATTGCTAACCCTAAGGGTGTTTATATAGGCGTTTAGTCAAAAGGATTACGGCTTAGTGTCTAAAAAATATTATGAAACAAAATACTGCAAGATGCAATTGATCCAACAATGAGTTCCATCGATCAAACTCACATAGTAAGGGAGTATCCATAAATCATCCCTACTTTGTGAAAACTTTGATTATTTGATTTCAGAACCTGTCCACATGCATTCGATACTGAAAATTTTAAAAGCTGAATTTTCAATGCAAAAATTTTGAGTGTTAGTTATACATTAAATTTTTTTTGATATTTTTTTTAATTTTAACTTTTAAGTGTTTAGTGTTTAGTGATAAGTGAACTCTCCATCATTTAAAATTTTATCCCCTTTAAAGCGGCACTTATTCTTTTAATCGGTATCCTTATAGCATTATTAAATCCACTTCAAACAATAAATATTGAATCTATTCAGAATTAAGTACTGAATTGAGTAATCAAACAACACCTTACGGTATGAAATGACCTTTGCAACAATTATGATTACTACAATGTGACTTGGAAGATATGTTGGGTATACCAACTATGAGCTAGTGATCCTGTCAATGTTTATTAATTGACTCATGAATCCTTGAGATAGTATTCCACATTCTATATTAAGGTGCAAGCAATAGCAAAAGTATATCTTGATGACAATGACCATTGTTGACCATCACAGAATTAAGAAGGCATTCTTAAAATGGCTTAGGAATATTTCACTATCTTTGTTGAAGGTGGCATTCAACCTTTCCATCAGGAAGGGGGTTAAATATAAGTGAAGGACTCCACCATTTGCCACATATACCCCATATAGGTAATTATTTATAATCGTGTGATATGAATTATCGCTTGGGGGTTCCAAGAAGGATGTGTCTTGGAGGATTGAGAGAGAAGTGGTGGCCAAGAGTAGGGCCATAGGACCTTATCACAATAACAGAGCCAAGACACACATAATGGAGTGCTTGATATGGGAGAGCGCCATGGGACCTCTGCAAGTTGTGGGAGTTCAGTTCCGGTCAGCAAGCACCTACATGCTTTGGGAGAAAGTGAGAAAATAATGGTGAGATAAATCTCTTTGAGAGTGACAATACACCACATCTCATTGGTTGTGTTTTAAATGTGCATAGAAATCACATGTGCGACTTTGACTATGAATATCCTTCCACTCACAGAACTAGAGGTACGCCCTCCTTTAAAAAGGTCCACTTGAGGGGTTCTAGATGGTCATTCTCTGTAACGACATCACATTCTCTCTATCCTCTCTTTCCTCCTCTCCCAGGCAAGGATCCTCTTTTTGGAAAATGTGCTATCCAAACAATTATTGTGCCATAATTGAGGGGTTCAGAATGGTCATTCTCTCTCTCCTCTCTGTCCTCCTCTCCCGGGCAAGGATCCTCTTGTAAAATGTGCTACCCAAACAATTAATAGATGGCACACACGTCAGCAATGATGATGCAGCATCATCTGTGCCATCCAGTAAATACTCAGATGGCATATTTCACATAAGAGGATCCAAGCGTCAACTCCTCCGCCTACTACACCCTCTTTAAGGGTCTCTCTTATGTGGCATGTAAATTCATTATGAAACCATATCCACAACAATTAATCATCTAAAAAACTTAAGTCGTTAATGAGATGTAACTTAAATATTTATACCATCAACATGATCCCTCAAAAATAGCTATACTCCCCTAAACAAATGAGACAAGCAAATTATTAATTATTTGATTGACGGTGAATTTTGAGGGCAAAACGTTCATACTACGACAAAATGTTAACAACCAACTCGTCCAAAAGATTAGAACTCCTCAAAATATGAAGGGGGTGTTGCTGGTTAACAGAAAAATTATATACCCAGATGGAAACACATGATCAAGCAAATACTCTAGATATATATCCACACACCATAGTTGTTAACTTGTTAAAGGCGCGCCTAAGCTCCAAAAAACCCCAGACTCGCCAAGACTCACCTAGAGCACCTCAACCTAGTACAGGACAGGCCTTTTTCAATTAGGCTCACGCTTTTTAGTATGTTCCAGGATCAAAAAAAGTAAGCCTTCTATTTTTTACTGATTTATTCATATCATTTTTTTTTTTATCAAATGACTACTAAATTATAATATTCTATATCATTATAATGGATCATATTTTTCAAGGTTATGAAATATTTAACAAAATTCATAAATTTATGGTTTAGTACTTATATTAATTCTATTTAGTGCTTCATTATGAATGTTTATAATAATATATGTTTAAAGTTTTCAATAATTATAGTTTTTAATTGTTTCAGATTTATAATCACATTTAATTTGGTTAATGCATATGCATATGAATCGAGTTATGAACATTATTTACCTGGTCCTCTTCGTTGATATATAAAAAATTCCACTTTTTTAGAATTTTTTATTATTTGTGTTGCATATTTTGAATTGTTCATATTGTACATTGATTTTACTGAATTCATATGCAAATAGAAAAGATATATGTATGTCGATTTAGCTAATTTATTGAATTGATATATTGAAAGTATTTCTTGTTTTAATATTGACAAGTATATGTTGCATAGTTCAATTATTCTTTATACAATTACAATTAACATGCATTATTAAGTATGACACGAGTGTCATACTTGGAAGAGGCTCGCGCCTTATGTTGGGCTTTGCGCTTAGACTCCGAAGACCTTTGGCGCCTTAGTGCCCCCTTGTGCCTCTAACAACTATGACACACGCATAATTGTAATTGTGCATATATGTATGCCAACCTAAAAACATTAATTGAGTCCAAAATATAAAATAAATAAAACCAAACATTTTATGACAAAAAACCCACATACAGGATTAGGCAACCTCAGACAAGCACAAAAATAAAAGGTGAAAGGAAAACCAAAAAACCCATATGTAAAATCACAAAAAAAAAAAAAAAAAAAAAAAAAAAAAAAACCCACCTGGGTACAGAATTCATGACAGTAAATCAAAGTGTATCACTTACAAAATTTATGATGTAACATACATACATACATACATACATATTATATATATATATATATATATATATATATGATTTCATACCTTGGGATTAATGGTTTCAAGAGAGACAGGAGGGGATGAATTAGAAGAATCCATTGAATCGGAAGGAGAAGGGGAAGGAACGGACGTCAAGAAACGGAGGGCAGACTTAGATGAAGATGGAGAAGAAGAAAAAGTGAGTCTGAGTCTCTCTTTTGTAGAGCTCTTGACCAGATTTATGGCTTTCTCGGCTACAAATCTCCGCATTGCGATTTGGAATTTTTGAGGGAATTTAATTGGTGGCCACGTTCAACCCAAGACCAAGCCAACCTTCCTTTACTTGTCGCCAGCACTTTCAAAAATTCCAATGTTCTGTTCGGTTCTGTTCACTGTTTGTGTGTGTGTGTGTGGCGGTCTCAGGACTTCGTGAGTTTCTTCTACAAGAAGCTCGCAGAATTCCAGCCGCATTCATCTTTCGTACAATAAAAAGGTTAAGGAAAAAAATTCCTCTAACTTTGTAAATAACTCCTTTAAACTATATATATTACTCTTTTAAACTATTAATTTATTATAATTAATGACAAATTCTTCACAAAAAAATATCATTCTCTTTCTCATTAAATTTATTATTTTTTATTAAATTTTTTTTATCTAAATAGTAATTATACAGTTAGTATCAATTTATCTAAATAGTAATTATAATATTAATATCAATTCATCAAGTATAACTACCATTTCTAAAATAATTAACTTATTACTTAAATTTTACTATCAATAATAAAATTTATTATACTTAGTTTAAAAAAAAAGTTATTGTAAAGATATATTTTTTCATACAATATATTAATGAAAAATTAATAAATTACTTAAATAAAAAATACTTTCTTTTAAATAATATATTTATTAAAAATTAAGAAATTACTTAGATTTTTTAAAAAATTCATACTTAAAATATTTATTTAAACAATTTATTTTAAAAATTAAGGTAAATTTATGCAAATTTAATATAGAATGTGTTATCAAATTAATATGATTTTTTTTTTTCACAATTTATTTCAATAAGAAAACTAGATTAAGTGTAATTTAATATTAAAAAAAAATTAAAAAAATATTACACTCATTTAACGAAAAATAATTTAGGTATTGGGATAATTTACAACAAAATGTGACGATTCGAGGTATTATGAACAAAAATATACTTCAAATAAGTTATTTGCAAATTCGAACATAATTCAAGTATTATGTTTTTGCCTTTACCCCAATAATTCGGAGCACTAATATTTTCTGATTTTGAGTAGGAGTGACAATTCATATTCGTAGGTTATAATCGTGTCGTATCGTGTTGATGTAAGAGTATTATACTAAACAGGTAAACACTAACCCGACATATTTATCAAAACCAAGCTCGGCGCGTGATTTCCACACTGACTGAAATGTCAATTCTGCCCTTTAATTTAGTGAAAGACCACTTTTTTTTTAGAGTGCGTTGTTTGACATACTAGAGCATCACATAATAACGGGAGTTTTGGTCTGATGGTGGGCCATTATCTAGCCCATTTTACCCTTCTATCCACACTGGAACATGGGCCAGTACCCAGTCAGCATAGACATGGGTGGGTAGTTCAACTTTTGAGACCAATCGATATATGGCCTACGAATGAGCCAGAGTTGGTCTGCATAACAATTGTGGTGGAGCAAACACTTCCTAGACCCGTTAAGGTATCTTGGAGCTATAAGATTGTCAGAGGTCTGAAACTCTCGATGGTATTATACTTGAGCCATGGGTTGCCTGGGCTGTTTGTTCCGATCTATAAAGCTAATGCAGAGTTGAAAAAGGCTTTCTTTTGACTGTAGTCAAATGGAACCCATTTGGGCCCAAAAGCGTGAGTTCATCCCGCCTGATAGAGCCAATTTGGAGCCTGGTCTGGCTCGCCCTTTCAGTGTTATCTATGGTTCGCAGTATTCAAGTCCGTATAGGCGTAGTGTAATAAGGGTCATTTGTCCCACATCGGAATTAGATGGGAAAGTGATTGAGTATAAATAGATGGGTATGCAGTACTACTCAATAGTTCTAACTTTTGGGTAAATGGACAAGCACTCACCCGTTACAATTGATATCAGAATCAATCCGATGTCACACCAAGCGTCCGGCAGGCTGCGTTTTTTGCATTTGTATGCACATATCATTCTTAAAAATAGAATAAATATATTTGCTAGAGAATGATAAGCAAAAGACGAATCTAGCCTAGTTATTTTTTGAAATAAACACATGTTTTGGTCCTCGGCTGAACCATGATATGAATCTAGTCGGACTACTAATTATTTTCCTAAAAGGTCCAACAATCCAAATGCTCTCAATGATTCAGTGAGTAGAGGACAACAAATCCCACACTTACATATTTAAAAAAAAAAAACTATCCTAATCAAACCATGAAAAAAAAAAAAACTATCCCAATGTCAATAACAACAACAAAATATTTATTTTTGTAAAATATAACAATATGAAATTAGTATGAAAATTGATACTTTGCATTCCAATGACATTTCATGGTACTTTTGTTTTTTTATGTCAAAATATAATATTATTAAGATATTTTAACACAAGAAAAGAGTAATTTAGTCTTTTTTTAAATTTTCATTACATGTGCTAAATCTTAAAGAAGGTCAACGTAATAAAAGTTAAGCATTTTACCTATGTGTAATTTAATTTATTCTGACCTCGAGAAATATCAGTATAATTTACCCAATAATTTTTCCACGATTAAATTCTCCACTGTGAAGTTAGGGACCGATACCAAACTTGTCTAACACTTTAATTATTGACTTATTTGGGAAAGTAAAATCCGTATTCAATTGACAAATAAGGGTTGAAAGACCTAGTCAAAATGGCAACTGGCTGGCTGGGACACAGAAAGATGATCAAACTAACCCTAGCAACCGCACATTTGATGGATGGGGATACATTTAATGCTGTATGTATATCTCACGGGTTAAAACCATCCCTTCACCAGCCAAATTGGGACCTAACAATTAAGATTTCACCGAGTAGCTTGAATTGCACATGGTTGAGTCAGGGTTCCTTGGTAAGGATGTCGAGTGTACCACTAGTCATTTGATTAGCCTCGTGTGGACCCATAACTTTTGACTTTTTATATTATTTGTACAAACCTAAGATACAATCTGACCAGAAATTCATTTTAGTGGGGTTTGAACTTTAACTTTAAAAACTTTAAATTCTAATTAACATCAAACAAAGAAAAAATTAAGGCGGCTTGTTTCTCAATTGCTTTTGGTTTCTTATTTTTGTTTTGACCAGAAATAGGAATAATTGTTTTGAAGTGTATGATAATGTAAAGTATTGTTTGTAACATAAAATTTGTTACAAGATTTTTAAAAATAAAAACAATTTTTTTAATTTTGGTCTTAATTTTTTTATAAAAAAAAAAAATACTAATAAAAATCGATTGCCAAACACTAGTAATGTTAAAACAGTCAAAAACAAAGAATAAAACAAAGCAATAAATATTTATTTATGAAGTCAACTGTGACTTCATCCATTTTCTAGGCCAAAGTTACAATGTGATTGGCCATATGGGCCAGGTAGTGCAAATTCTTTTTTTCTTTTTCTTTTTCTTTTTCTCTTCATTTCTTTTCTATTTGAGTAGCATCTCAATGTAGTAATAAGAAATCCCTCACATGCTTTATTCAATAAACTTAACCACTTTCGCAGGATGATACAATGTTGCCGCACAAAGCACTCCACAAATGTTTGAATAAAACAAACTGCAGTACCACTAAAGACTAAAAGCTAGCTAGCTTCAAAGTCCTAGAGAGAATGGGAAGCCAGTAGCTCTCAACCAGCTACCACCACCAATGAAACTACCAGGAGTGAACCCTGCGGCCTCACTTGAACTAGTAATCACCCTGAAACCCTTCCATGTCACCCTCCCGGAGGTCGAAGCCCCGGCTCCGGTGTTCGCATATTCCCCGTAATACAATGTGTCTAGGGCAAATGTCCCACTCCACATGTACCACCCGGCTGGGTTGATCACATTACTCACCGCTGACTGCATTATTACAGTCCTTGAATATTCCTTCCACGGCCTCCCAAAGTAGGTCGGGAAGCTGCTCTGGACAGGAAGTAGGTCCGATGTTGCACCTATCCGACATTTCTGAATCACAATGCCGGTGTTTTGGTTAGGGTCAGTCCGTCCTTGAGCTGTGAGCATGTTCCTTTGACCGGAATTCGGTTTTCGTGCATGGATGTCACAATCTTGTAACACTGCGGCCGCATTGCCAAAAATAAAATCAACTGTACCAGCTATGTAGCAGTTTATGTAAAATTGCCGATTGGAGTGGACGTAGAGGGTGTCTTGGTATGCTAGCATATCACACTTGTAAAAAGCCGAGAGGTCAGAGCCGACACGTAGCGCCACGGCCTGGTGCTTCGACGGACCAGCAGTGTTTTGGAAGGTTATGTCCCGCGCCAAGAATCCTGCACCTACCGCGGCTGCACGCACACATATGCATATATCAATCAAATGGTACTACTGAAAATGTTAATAAAAGTAATTGTGAATAGGGATGTCAATTTTTACCGCCCCGCCGGGGCCCCGCCCCGTCCCATCCCGTTAATAATGGATATGGGAACACTTGTTATACCGTTGGGGCGGACATGAATACAAATTTTGTACCCGTCGAGGGTCACGGGGTGGGTAAGGGTTCAATATACATATCCTAAGGGCCCCGCCCCGCCCCGCCCTGCATATAACTATAAGTTATTTTAGCAACTTACCCAATTACCCATCTCTTATAATCCTAATTTGGGATATAAACTTGGTATTAAATTTGCTTTTGTTTTGGTTATGGTGGAAGTTGGAGCTTACAACTTCTTGTGATTTGGTTGTATTAAACTTTTATTTTTGTTTATTATATTCTCTGAATTATGTTATGTGCATGTTATTTTTTATTTATTTATTAGGATACATAATTTTATTTATGTTGTGTCATTCCTAAGCTTTGCACATTTAAATAGCAGGAGTTTAAGTTCTAAAAAGTGGGAGAAAAAAATTTGTTAGTGGGGCGGGCACGGGGGCACAGTATTTCTTAACAGGGCAGGGTTGGATATGAAAATCCAACCCGTCGCGGGTCTCGGGGCGGGCATGGACTTGATAAAAATTAAAAGGGACGGGACGGGATTTAGAGAAACTCGCTCCAAACTCACCCCGTTGTCATCCCTAATTGTGAACGTATCATATGAAGATCGAGGAATGTTGGACTCATGAACAACTAAACTCAATTATTCGTCCATTAATTAAAGTTTGAACGAACTGTGTGGATTATTACTGTTATTGTTATTTCTTTTTTGGGTAAAGCGTAAGTGTCAGTCTCTGCCAACTTGTTTCTTCAAACAAACGCCAGAATATAATAGGCTCAACTTGCAGAAAACTGAACCCATAGTGTTCATAAAGTAGGAGAAAAAGTTTGAAAAGTTTGAACTTTTTTGCTAGACAAGTCAAGAATCCAACAACAAAAGTCTCAGTTGCTTGAATGATGAATACTTGAGGAATTTATTTATTTATTATTTATTTTATAATTTTGAGAAGTAATAAAAATAATTAAAAATCAATTAGAATTAATTGCCAAAAGAAAAAGCTCCTAAGTTATATAATAAATAAATAAATAAGTACATATAACCTAGACTTAGAAATTTTCAAAAAACGCGGTAACCATAAAAATAAAAAATAAAATAAAAAAATCATACAGCCATAATTTACAATAAAGTACAAGATTTTTATATTATTAAGGAAACAATCATGCAATTAAACAAAGGACAATTTAATAATTTAAGAACATATTTAAGAACTTAACCTTATTCGGAAACTTTCAATAGTTTGGAGATCCAATCAAAGTTTGGTATGAACCGAGGTTATAGATTTCCAATAAATTTGCAAACATATACTGTTATGTCCATGTGAAGTCATAAAAGGAGTAGAAAGTAGCTAGGAGTAGTAATTTTCAATCCAACGAAATGTCATCATTATCAGAATGTATAATTGTACAAACAAGTCAAAAATTGATTATATAGTGTCGGCTAAAAAGCTCCATGCATTTTGAAATTCGAAACAACCTTGATTGAATGAAATTAACAACCGGAAAGCTATGACATCTCTACCATCCACGTACATTCAATCAATCAACGAATTAAGAAAAAGAGTAGTAGGATTAAGTGACACATGTGATGAGAAAAGTCTAATAGACACACACAAAAGTGCCATAAATAAAAAGAAAGCGATGCTTAGCTGTAGACCAACTATTTCTTTGTAGTAGTACGGTGAAGACAAACATATCTTTTTAATTTCGTTTTTCTCATTCGTAGAAGACAGACATAAAACATTCAGATCTTTTGCCAATAAATTACAAAGATTAGTCAATGCAATTACCCAATTAGATAAATATAAATCAACCTTAAGAATATAATATATATATATTATATACAGACACAGACAGACATGCATAAATATAGAGAAAAATGAAAAATAATATATAAAATAAACGATAAGATATAGGGGTTGATGGATGATGACTCATTCTGAATTGTAGAGGGAGAAGATGAGAACATGTTGGTTGGATTTATATACGTCTAGATGGGAAGGGAATTATTAGATTGGGGGTCCCACACCATGTGAGATATGTCTGATAAATTCTTAGAAAAGAAATATATGTAACACTCAACAACATGCAAGACAAGTGTCCTCTGATCCTCTTTGGAAATGTAAACACTCCGCGTGCGAGGAGAGACTTAGGGTACACGTACTTCTCAGGATCAGGAAAACAAAACTAGCACAATGAACTACACAGGCCTGGTCTTTATCGTTCAATAGGACCCACCTTCAACAAATATACTGTGTGTATATATATATATATGATATGTGTATATATTGATAATATGGAGTATAGTGGAATTTAACATTAATGTACTTCATAGATGCAGGACCTTTATTGACATGAGGTGCCTTGAATTTTTTTTTTTACTAATATACCCCTATTAATTTGCTTTTGTTCAACTATATACCCTTCAAATATTGTTGTTGCCTTCTCTAAAATTATTATTACTCCGCTCTCACCTTATTTTATGCGTCCGTCTCCCCATTTGTGTGTGTATATATTTTTTGCACATCAAAGAATAATATTTTTGTATATATACATTTATTTTATACAAATAAGAAATGACATTATCTTATTTTATAAATGTACGTAGCTGTATGTGTCCATTTTGAAACCATGTAACTGTTAACTTTAAATTAATCAAATCTTAACAAGTTTTTTTTTTTTTTTTAAATCTTTGCCAAATCTCACCACCTTTAGAACCTTTACCCTAGCGGGCCTGGCTCCATTATAAGTGTTCAACTGGAGCCTACATTACCGGCCAACTTGTATAGCAGAGGAGGAGTTTAATTAAGCAATATTAGTAGTATTAATAATCTTAAAATATTTCAAAACTATTAAAATTAATTTTAAAAATAATAAACTTCACAAAATAGCAAGTTTAGTTTATTCTGAGTAACAAATAAAATAACACAAATCGAAGTCAAATATTTATTCTAGAGTTGGACTAGTCCCGGCCCCCACCCTGGATAACACTTCTTGCATTATTATTTTCTTTTCTCATCAAAGGACATAATAATTTGAATCATAATATTTAAAAAAACTGAAATTAGAATATAGAACTGAAAATGAATGGAGAGAGAGTGTGCTGTTACTCACCAACGGTGGCAGAATTGAAGGTTGTGCTGCCATCAACCACATTCCTACTTGCTGTAATTATGGTACTTGTCCTCCCATCACCCAGAAACATTATATTAGTCTTCCCCTTTGGCACATCCACATTTTCCCTATATACCCCTGCCTTAATCCTAATAATATATCTAGTCTTACTCCCCGACGGTGCCGCCGCCACTGCCGCCGCCACTGTCTTATAATCCCCACTACCATCGGCCGCCACCACCACGTTTGGTGTCACCGTGGAAGACTGCAGCAGCCTCCTATCCACGGCCGACAACCACTTCGGCCACTTACTATCCTCAACATCGTTATCTGCAGTAATGTCTGTCATTTTCCTACCCATTTTGGACATTTCAATAGCCATGTCCGTATCCGTCAAATTCTTGATCATAGCCAATGAGTTACTACACATCTTCTCCACCAGAACCTCTCCGTCCTCCAACGCCTCCCGCACGTGCTTGTCTGCGTCGTCGTGCGAGAACCCGTCGAGGCACGTTTCCTGGTTGGTCATGGCGGAGCTCAGCAGCGTTTTGAGGTCGTCGGCAGCCGACGACAGCGATTTCTTTTTCGGATACTCAATGAGATCGACAATGGCCTCGTGAAGCTCGTCTAGCGTTTCACTAATTGTCTCGAGACAATCATGAAGCGCGGTCTTTTCGCGCTTCGTGAGGTTCTTCATAGATATGATCTTCTCGATTCTGAAGAAATTGTGCTCCACGACGGTGATGGTGAGGTTGAGCGACACCAGGATGACGTCCTTCAAGGACGACACTTTCTTGGTGGTCCCGACCGGGGCGGTGGCGATGGCGGAGAAGCATAACTCAGGGTAACGCGTGGAACTACATGAGGATTTGACAATGGCGTGAGCTGGAGAGGCTTTGAGGTCTGCGATACTGTCGGAGTTTTCCTTGTTTGACTTTACTCCGACGACGATGCCGATGACGGCAGCGACGAGGAGGACGGATGCGAAGAGAGCTAAGAAGAGTTTCTTGTGTCTCTTGGAGATGGAAATGTGCTTGCCGGAATCTGACATTCCGGCGAAGAATTCCTTGATGCGAGTCATGCGTTTAGTTGGGGTGGCGAGAAGGAAATGGTTTGAAGATAGAGAATGGAAGGGAAGGGGTGAGGAGAGTTTCGGATATGGTATGGGTTTTTATAAGTGAGTTTTAAAGGAGTGTTGTTACATGTCTGGTTATTGGTTTAATGATTTCTTTACTATAAAAAGCAAAGCTTGTCCAAGATGCACATCATGACAACTAATGTGCGCTCTCACTTAAATTAACATGTCTTGAGTACTATGTATAAATTATGGTAAGAAAATGATTTTAGAGGGTTACCATTGGACATGAAAGTAAAAAGTAAGAAAAAAATCCTTTACACATTTTTGCCACAATTGTTTAGGTGAATGACTGTTTCAATGGTTATGAGATTATGTAATAATTTTTTTAAATTGATATATAATATGGATATACATTTTTGGCACAATTATTTAGACAAATGGTCCAATTTTAATAATCACGAGACTATGTAATAATTTTGATACACTGTGTTGTTTATACGAGTGAGATGAAACTAATCAAAAGTAATGGTTCAATTTCATCAAATATCATAGAAGAGACAAATATGAAGGAGCGTGACAAAAACCCGTTCAAAAATTTAAGTGTGCAATTTATCGAGCTGTTCTCCATCTTCTCCTTAAACTATTAGAATTTATTTTATTTTTTTTTTCTTTACCAGAAACTATCAGATCCTTTTTTTCAAAATTTGTATGTAACCAAAGAAAAAAGTTGTTGGCTCATGAGTGTTACGAAGAGTCGTACCTCATCGGAGCTTTTCTTTTTTGAATAAAAGATTTATACGTCCCACGTGAATGGTGGGGTTCTTTCCATCTGTCTTTTTCACGATGACTTTTAATACTGTTTATAATATGTACATGTATATACATGATGAGTACACTAATTATTGTAAGATTAGTTCTTTTGGTTTCTACTGTCGGTTGCCTAGACTGGTTACAGGACATTGCGGTGGGCACAGTATGAAAAGGCTAGCCGCACCCTTCAATCTTCAATTCAAACAAACTTTTTTTACCATGATTGATTGTAAAATTTTATAAACACGCCACATAAAAGTCATGCAATGGTAAATATGATGAAGTCATCGGAAAAAATATAATATACACAAGTGTGTAAATATATGTATATTAATTATGTATATTTACACTGTAAAATTATGACAAAAAACAGTACTGTTAAAAAAAGACGCCCGTTTTTTTGTTTCATTCCCTGTAATTTAGTTTCTTTTAAGTTTTTGGGTTTTGGGAGTTGAGAATACACAGTATATTTTTTTTTCCGGAAATTTTACAGTAATTTATTATTATTCTTTCACCTTTAAATGTATATATAAATACATATATATTTATTTTAATAAGTATTGGTGTCTGTGAAGTACAACAGCGCATGTGCTTAATTACGTCATAGGCATGCGTGAAAGATTATAAAACCTCATAAATGGATTCGTTCCCTGATGGAATCACATGAATATGTCCTTGCTGATAATATATATATATGGAGTATATATGAATGCAAAAAACCAATATATATATATATATATATATATATATATATGGAGTATATATGAATACAAAAAACCATGAAAATATATATATATATATATGGAGTATATATGAATGCAAAAAACCAATTTCATGCTTGTGAAAATTAATGAATAGAGGGAATAAGGGATGAAGATATGAGCTCATTAACCCGCCATAAACAATAAGTAAAGTCAACTTTCAAATGTAGAAAAATCCACAACTACAATGCATTTAAGTGGGGTTATATATAATATAATCGAGTCGGTTGGGAAGTTTCCAAGCCTATTTAATCCGCCTATTAAGCAATGACTCACTAAAAAACGGTAGTTAGAAGTTTTTTTTTTCTTCTAAATAATTACTATTATTATCTTGTCAAAAAAACTTACACAGTACGAGTCCAGTTTTTTTTTTTTTTTTTTTCTTTTAAATAATTACTGTTATTATCTTGTCAAAAAAACTTAGTAAGAGTCCGATTGGGATTGTTGGTGGAATAAAAAAAGAGTTTTATCAGTAGACTTGTAAAATAATTGCAATTAGTAGAAAGCATGTTATGTGTGGTGAAAAGTTATAATGAGTATTTTTGATAATTAAATATTTTTAATTTATTTGGTAATAATATTTTTTTAAATGCTTCTATTGGTAATTGTACAATAATATTCAGAATTATTAAATGAAAACGAAGAAGAACCCAATTTTAAAAGTTTCAAATTTTAACTTAATTTAAAAGTTTCAGTGAACTAAATTTATTACCAACTGCATCTAAATATAAATTTTTAAAATAAAATCACTTTTAAACATTTGAGAAACAATTCCAAACAATTTTTCACTTGTTTTACGAACTTAAACCCCAACATTTTATTTTATTTTTTCCAAAAAGTTAAGCAACTATCAAAATCTAAACATGTTTTAAGGAATGAAGGAGAATGATACTCAAAAGACACAAAAGCCTTTTCTTTTAGTGTGTGGGTCACTAATCATTCACTTGGGTTTCTTTTATGCTGTACACGCATTTTTTCACTTTTTCTTTATTAGTAGCAATTAGCATCAGATGCCTATTGATGCCATACAGCCAAAAAGTTAAATCCAAAAATATATATATATATATATCTAAGACAACTCAAACAAATTTTGGGGTAAAAAAACAAAGGAGCTAGCATGGTTTTGCTCCTGTTTGGTGGGGTCACGTGCCCTTGAATAATCCAAAGGCGGCGGGTACATGTCCTACATTTGGCCCAACGGAAAGGTGTGTGTAAAACTGTAAATTGATTTGAGGAATTCAAGATAAGGCGTAAAAGAAGGAAAGTACAATTAAATTGTTTTTTCTCAAACTTCTCCCACATAAACTGGTTTACAGCCTGTCGATCTAGGTTGCTTATTGATATAAATGTGGTTTGATTCTTTCGAAAACACAATTTATTTCGAATTCTGCAACATGCTCACATTTTTAAGATTAAAATTAATATCCTAGTTCAACTCTATTTTCAAATTTTATTTTGTTTTGGAACAATGACGAGGCCGCGGACAACTAGACCCCAATCGTAAAAGCTCCAGGTGTCCAAACACATTTGAGTTTTTTTTTTTTTTTAGAAAAGATATATATCTGCCGTCACAAATTAACGTCTCTTTTCAAACATTTAATTTTGTAAGAGGTAAATTTTAAATTTTTGTTATTGTATTGAAATATTCGCATTAAAGTTGTGATGGTCTGAACCCACCAGAATTCCTGAATTAAGCATGTTTAACTTGAAGTAGTACCAGAATGGGTAACCCCCATTGGTATGAAAGCCTGACCAGGCCGAAAGTGTGGCCAACGAAGAAGTTGGGCCCAAAAGAAGGTGATTGTTGCGATCTTGTGGGTGGGATGTGTGTGAGCATATGTAGGTGGCATCAATAGGCTACCACGTTAGGCGGGAGTAATAGCAGGATGGGTGACTTCTGGGAAGTCTCTGGTCTCCGGGAGTCGAAAGCGGACAATATTGTGGGTCTTATTACATTAATCTATGTTGTGACAATACCCCAAAAGCTATTTATATTTATATTCATATAAATATTGTTAAGACTTGCTGAAAAAAAAATAAAAAAACATTGTTAAAAAATAATAATAATAAAGAGAGATGGAAGACAATACTGGTTGAAGAAGATGTTATAAATGAAAGATGATAATACACAATGTGAAAAGGATGAAATGCTTTGATTTTTATTACACAATGCACATGGTAAAGGGACCCGATCCAACCTACTACTTTATACATAATAGATTGGTATATATTGCAATACAAAATAAAATAAAATAAAAGTGTTCTCTTTCATGATTTGGGTCATTGCCAATTAGAAATCAATCAATTGACAATTCCCCAAAAAAAAAAAAAAAAAAAAAAGGGTGAAAATTCCAACCTTACCAAACTTTTTATCCTGAATTATAGATCATCAACATGCTTGTGGACTTTTCTTCCGGTAATGGTCAAGAACTTGTCCATTCATCTGTGATAGAATAGGGGTAAGCAAATAGTCCGTCAATCCGGTCCGAACTAATCCGATCTGTGTGATTTGATTTGGTTTTCAGATCTCATGGTTCGGTGATGGTTTAGAAAAATAGCAATCCGTTATTCACGGTTCGGTTAACGAATTGAGTCCTAAAAAAACCAATCCGAACCGATCTGAACCGTGGCCTAAATAATATAGTAATATATTTTATATATATATACAATATTGAATATACTTACTATATTTTTATTTTTTTATTCATTATTCTATTTGGATAATTTATATTGCCTATTATTATGTATATAATTTACAAATCTATTGCTATTATTTGGTATATGACTTACAAATTTTATTGCTATTACTGTTAACATATTACCTGGTATATGATTTACAAGTCTATTTTATTTTTCTAATTTTAATTACTAGTTTGAGATTTTAATGGGCCAAAGTATAATTTTATTGGGCTATTTGAAAAGTCCAAACCGATCCGATCTGATTCGTTATTTCACAGATTGATTTGGTTCGGATTGAAAGTTCCCACGGATCGATTCGGTTTTAAATTTCTCAAATCCGTAAAGATCAGTTAGGATTGAATTTTATCTCAAACGGAATTAATCTGATCCGTAATCACGCCTATGATAAAATCAATCTTGGCGACCCATCAAGTTCTGTGTAGTCTATATACCATTTGACCCTACACTCCTGCAGCATTTAGTGCCTTGATGTACATAAGAACAATCCACCAATTACGCATTTTATTCCCAATAATATAGTCCTCCTTCTCACTATTATATATATATATATATATATATATATATAGTACAATATATTCACCCGTGCAAGCCTGCTGGTCCTACAAGAAAGGAAAGCACAAAGCAATTTCCTCCCTTTACAAAAGAAACTAAAGCAGCCAATTCTTGATTGGATTCTTATAATTGCTTTCACTTTGTCCTTCCAGCAAGAGAGAGTAAAGACGTTTCAACCATTCCCAACACTGTTTTTCAGTCTTACCTGTTCTTCTTAAAAAACAAACAAAAACAAAATAATTTTTTTTTTTTTTTTTTCCTCATATTTGGTGTACACATTCTCTTCCCCCAGCAATGTGGACGTCACATATAATTTAG